ATAGGAGCCATTTCTTTACCCAAAGGGTAGTGGGAGTATGGAACAGGTTAGCCAGCCATGGTGTTGACACCATTACCCAAGATTCTTTTAAAAAATGGCTCGATCAATTAACCCCTAAAATGCAAATGACCCCAACGGGCCAGATAATAATAATAATAATAATAATAATAATAATAATAATAATAATAATTCAGATGACCTTCTCACATTCGTAACCTTTTAAGTATCTTAAATTGCACAACTTTGGATCTCGGGATGACTTCCCTTTGGGCTGCCTAGAAAAGAACAGGCCAAACTGGAAGACATCTTCAAGTCACATGGAGGCTATGCAACTGGCAGTTAGCTCCAGGTTTTGATCTAATCAAAGCCCCAGACGCACTAAGAGACAAAGCTGTTCTTATACTGTTAATTTCAGCTTACTTCAAACCATCCTTTGTGGACAAGATGAGACACGGGCATCCTGTTTAGTTTCTGTTACTTAAGTATTTCCCTGAGCAATCTATATTTAGCTATAAGCTTGACACCCCTTATCGAATATGTTCTAAATACTCCAAAGATCTCCTTATGGCTAATTTTGAGAAAAACATCTAAAGGCCTGGTTGCATGCTAACCCATTAATACACCCACTCATGGAGCAAGCTTCTATAGCAGTGAGATACAGTGAGAACAGGCTATCAGAAAATCCATCTGGATACACTGCACATTAATGTGCTGAACCTAACAACAGTGCAGTCTAGTGTTCTCATTGGTGGAGAAAGCACGATTATTTTCTCCCTATTTATGGCTTTTGCCATCTTTAAAAAAAAAAAACTTGACTTACAATCCCTGTACTGGTTACACAACTCATTTACAACATGAGAAAACATTTGTTGAGAGCCAATAATTTAACATACAAATGAGTGCATTGTTTAAAACATGCAAAATTATAAAATATTTACAATGCTTGCACTGGGGAGTACATCAAACAGCATGAAGACTCCCACACTTGGCAAGCAAGGCGATGATATTTTTGCTTTAAACAAGAATCAAGGAGGCCCTTAACCCTGGAGCAAAGAAACGTCTCATAAAATACCCGTTGATCCAAACAAGCCTGTTTAGCCAAAATATCCAGTGCTGGACATATAAGCTAAGTAAGAATTTGTAAATTTGTAACATTCAGCAAGGAAACTGTCCAGGGCTTCAGTTTAGTGATGTGATCAAAGATACTGCTTAATGCTGGCACTCCTCAATTTTAGGATAAAATTCAATAATTCCGACCTGTAACTTCTATTGGAAATTGAATACACTAGTATCTTCATTTTAGGTGTTTTTTTTGGTCCAAATATCTCAGATAAGCCATTTAACAAACATCAGCCTCTTCAATGAAAGTTTGCAGATTTTTAAAACCACAGTATTCAAAGGATTTTAGTATTTTAAAACTGGAAGACTTATCTCTAAGCCATTATAAAAAACATGAGTATTCTGCATTTAGATGCTGAGCAGCTGCCTCATGTTTCTTAATTATTCAATCCCACAATGCTGCACAACTCTCTGTTTATGCTTTCTACCCTATACCAACATTATAAGACAAAACAAAACAGCTGACCTTTTAGTAATGTTCCTTTCAGTAAACCCATCTAGTTCTAGGAACAGTTACAACTTAAAACATAAGCACGGGCAGTAAATGTTTTTACTGTGGAGCATTAAAATTCTCTGGTTGTCTCTGAGTTTCCTTAACCCCACCTGTCAGGAAGATATGCTGAACATGCACAAATCTCAAAGAACTGCATTGCATTAAAAACCAGCTTTAAGTACTGTTTGTATCTGACATGATATCCTAAACACAAAACATATTCTGTATTTGTTCAAACCTATAATAACAGTTATAAAGGAGAGGAGGCCATTAGACCTATCTAAATCAGCTTGGAGTTAGCAGCTAAGGGTTCCAGCTTTTTCTGATGGACTCCAGGGTATCAGCTTCAACAACATGGCTGGGTAGCTTGTTCCCTGCTCCCACAACCCTTTGCGTGAAGACGTCCTACCTCTTCTCAGTTTTAAATGCATATCCACTTGATTTCCAATTCCACTTGTGTCCCTGGAAGATTTTGAACACTTGCATTAGGTCCCCTTGCAAATCTTTTCTGTTCAAGGCTAAAAGGGTTTATTCGGCCTGTTAGTGTAGGATGTTCTCCTAAGCCCCGGAATATATCCGTTTGTTCTTCTCTGGACTGATTCCAGAGCAGCAATATCTGTTCAGTCAAGTATTGTGATATATACACACATATTAGAGTTGCTTCCAATTTGCAGACAGGCCAGTGAGAGGTGAAGTCATTGTTCTTACTGTAATTGCATTTCTTTTTCTTTTCATTGTCATTAGATCTTGTGGATAAAATTCATCCCCACAACTCAAAAAATGCTCTCCATCTACGGACGACCCCCCCAGACACACCCCATGCTGTAGAGGCTCAGAAAAGGAGTAACAAAATGCCCTGATTTGCAGATAAAAAAGACTTTCCAGGTTTGAGTTCACTTCAATTTGTTCATCTGTCCAATAGAAACAAGTCGAGGAAAACACAACACCCTTTGAAAATTATTTCTTCTCACTTTATCTGGATCATAATTTCTGATCAGCATCTCACAATGATTAAAAAGCAGCCACACAAGGCGTTCCATTGCAGTGACTTCTTTCAAACTATACACCTGAAAGTTACAGTTATCTGACCCATCAGTTGTAAAAGTTAGACAATGTATTAAAATAGCGCCTTTCCTCTCAAATGATCCCACAGCACTTTTTATAAAGGATGGGATCCACTTTAACTATAGCTGAATATCACACAGCAGCCATTCTAGACCAGCAGATTGGGCGGAGGAGTGAGAAACTGCTTCACCACATTAACCTAACTGAATTAAGGAGAGCTAGAGGGAGGCCAGATTGTGCAGGCCCAGAGCAGACATTAATCAGGCTATCAGATATCGGGGCAGCTGTGCCCATGGCTGGAAGGTTGCTGGTTCAAATCCCGTGGCCGGCAGAGGAATCCTACTCCATTGGGCCCCTGAGCAAGGCCTTTAACCCCACTTGCTCCAGGGGCACCGTATAAATGGCTGACCCTGCGCTCTGACCCCAAGTTTCTCTCTTCCTGTCTGCGCGTCTCATGTAGAACAAGCTGGGGTATGCAAAAAGACAAATTTCTAATGCAAGAAATTGTATATGGCTAATAAAGTGATCTTATCTTATCTCGGTGTTAACACCCCAACACTTTCCAATAGTGTCATGGGATTGCTAATGACCAGAGCAGTCAAGACCTCACTTTCATCCAAAGGAAAGCAGCTGCACAGCACAGTGTCCCTTATTGTCATACTGGGGCACTGGTTTGGAAATTCTGGCCCAGAGGAAAGAGTGCCACCTACTGGTCCACCAGCATCACTTACAGCAGCAACCTGGTTGTCCTTGGAGGTCTCTCATCCCAATACTGACACCTGGCTAGTGCAGGCGACAAGACAAGAACTCACCGCCACATGTGATGTAGGAAGCATCACAGAGATCAACCAATCTCATTACAAGAGCACAGACGGATGTGGTGAGATTCTTACAAGAGCTTAAAAACTCAGAAGAAAATATCATGTTTTCACATAGTTAAGCAGGCAAAATACAACTGAATATTTGATCTATAGCTTTGCACAAAGATGGATACCCATAAATGTAACGTATAAATGTTTTCTATATCAGTAAAACGCAACTGACATTCCCAGCGCTCTCACTGTTGCTTTGTCAGTTGACATGAGTCCATCACAAGGCACACACACCTAGGGACAGTTTCCCCCAGACGCCAATTAACTTATCAGTATGATTCTGGACTGTGGGAGGAAACCCACGTGAACATGAGAAGACCATACAGACACCACCCCAGGTCCGGAATTGAACCCTGGGACCCCAGCACTGAGAGGTTGCAATGTTAACCACTGCACCACATATAAAATCTATTACACCAAAAATACATATGATTGTAAAAATCTGGACACATCCCCAACAACCGGATCAACAGCAGCATCGTTAACAACTTCCCGGTCTCTTGATAACCGGTGTGCCTCAATCCTTCAAAGAAGACCAATTAACTAGCATTAGTGGGCACTTGTCCTAATCCAAATGAATCGGGAGCCGAGAAAATAGTCGCCCGGAATATCCTGACCAGTCGCTGCCCCGGCAACATTAAACAGCTCCTGGTTCACAGCAGAAATCCGGCAGATCCTAGATGCCGTGGTGCCCAGCACATGCAAATGAAACTAATTTCCAGGCAACGAAAAGTCTTGCAACGGATATGGCATCTCTAGACTCTCTTCTTGTTCTGCTGAGTAGCTCACAATAATCCATTACGTTTCACGATTAAAAAAAATGCATTGTGTGAAACCGACCTTTTTTTTTTACTAATTTACTGCTACTATCGAAGAGGACCTTGGGAAGTCGCGGCCTAGAGCAGCTCCGTGATCAGTATTTTTCTTTTCATAAAATCTGTGGTTTCATCTGTGTACCACAATTGGTGCTATGCTATTTCTGTTAACGAGCTCCAAGTGGAACTAGCTACAAAGTTTCGCAAGTTAGCGTTAACTCGATTCAGACGAGCTGTCCATATCATCAAACACCTTAGTTATTGCCTCAATCTAGTAAGTTTACAAACAAAAATGCAAAATAAACAACTAATAAAACGTTTTTTAGAGAAACAATTGCGCCGTCCACGGGAGAAAATCAGTTCTCTCCAGCTAGCCCAAGGCGTGATACACTTATGACACTCCAGGAATAATTTAAGAAATACAAGTAACACAAGTGTGCCAGAATCACTAAGGCCTGGCTTGATCTCGAGAAAAATAACCCCTCATTCATCCAGTGCAACTACCGGCTCGCTGCGATAATGCTCACTGTAAACAGCAAAGCAGAACCGGCGAGGGCTTCTCATTCAAAGCTCCCCATCACTTTAACGAGCTTGCGAAGACACGCACGGATCTGCGGAAACCTTCTCAAAACTTACGTGAAAACGAAGAATAAAGTAGTGGAGCCCACGAGAAGAGTAGCTGCAGTAGACACCGGGATGTATTTGGTGGGTTTAAATCTCTTTGCAGTGCTGTTGGGCATTCTGTAGTTTCCACATTCCTTAATTATTTATTCCAATCGGAGACGCAAATACGGAGATCCAATGCGATGTCTGCAGACGGGGCTATTTAGGCAAACCCGTCTCCCCCCCCCCCTTCCTGCTGCTAATGTAAAATACACACTCAGATCCAAAGATAGACAGAAATACGGCTCCCCACACCAGCACAAGCCTGAAAATCCCTCCCTTGTGATCCAGCCCACCGCTGAGGTCAGAACACCGCTGTAAGGTGGAGCTTTCACGTAGAAAAGGGCGTCTGAGACCACGGCCACAGATCTTCACATTAGCATACATAATATATGCTGCTGCCTTGCGAGAGCTGTATCCGTCTTTGTGAAGATTTCGTAGCGGTGCCCGGCTTTGCATCGGAAAGTGCATGGCATTTAAATCGAGCAGACTCACGTGGTGCCGCGTTACACGCTCAACGCTGTGCGTGTCTGCATCAGCCTTCTCCTGCTGATGGTATTATTAAAAGTGTGTGTGTGTGCTTTTAAAGCCCCGTCGGAGATCAGTTTTCAAGTATAAACCTTGGTCTTGAGACTATTTAAGTATAAAATGACAAGTGTCTTACGGTTATATCATTGTTTCCTCTCACTTGGCATGACTTACCGCGCTGTGCTGTGCTTCCTAGCACTCCATGCCCATATTTAAACATTGTACATCTAAGAAAAAAAACTTTCACCTGTCGTTTTTAAGAGTTGACATATCGTTAGAAATATTCCCGATATTCTATAAGCTCACGGTGTCGCTCTTTGTAACCGCGAGGAAAAATCACCCTTCTTTATTTATTATCAAAGCAGAATGAGCATATTTGATAGATTGTGTCAAACACGTAGCAAACCGCACTAAAGATATATGAAGATGTTCGAGCTCATACAGTACGTTCCCTCGGTCCATTGTATGCTTCATGCGCCCCCTAGCGTTCAAAATGAAAATAACAATAGTAATTGAATTCGCGGAAAGTCTAAAAGCTACTGCTGAGCAACATATTTGAACTAAAGATGAATGTTTTATTTAGTTATAGAAGAGTTAAAAGTCACAGTAAAGTAACACGTAAGAAACACCCACTGACCTGATACAGCGGAGTCCTGTCCAATAAACAAGCAGCATTACAAAATGATGTCATACACAACCAAAAACATTAAAATAAGTCTTTTTTGAATATGAGGTGTGTAGGTTAAGCATTTAAGCGAAAATAAACACGTTTCGACGATTACCAAAGACAATGTTTTGTCCTAGTGCAGTGATAATTCCTGATGGTCCCGCAGACTGTTAGGTCTTATAGGCAGTTAACATCACCAACTGGTCAATTCTTGGAAAACAGTGGTAATACAGATTAGTATTAATACAATTAGGTGAACCTTTTAATGACCTGATTGTAATAAGAGTCCAGGGTGGAAAGGAAACCAGGGGCCAAAAGATATGTGTGCATAGATGCTGTTACAGATAGGTGGAGAGAGAGAGGCGTGTGGCATTTGATCATATAGTCTGAGAGATATGTGCATTCTTAAACTGTCCAGTGGGAAGAAAATAGACGAGGATTTGGAAAATGGCTAAACTCGTGAGTCCAAGGGTATACACACTGTTGACTTGTGTAAGAATGATTGTGTAGTTCTAATACCTGGTGTCAGCCTCTCTCGTGTCTTGAGTAGTAACTGAATAGAAGGAAAATTGTGGCAGGTTCACGTTATAGTGAAGAGTTTAACAGAAAATGTGGCTCTTCTGTCTCGGTTATTCTATGTCTAAATCGCATCCTTAAAAACCTATGACAGGTTTTTCACCACAATCTGATTGCAGAATAAAACACCTTTTGTATAGAAAATAGCTAGACTGTTACGAATTCTCAGTATCAAAACCATCTTTCATTCTTTTAACGCCACCCATTTCGCGTTTCGTATTTCTGTATGTTTGTCCGAAGCGGGCACATGTATTGCAACCCGGTTTTCTATTTCCTAAGACGTTGTGCTAGTTCATGTCTTGGTTTCGATTATTCTGAGGATTAGGGTGTAGGTTTGTTACCGGGCTTTCCTCCTCTCACTTATTTCATCACCTGTTTGCGCTCAGTGGACCCGAGCCGGTTTATCCTCAGCTAGTCAGTCTGTTCCTTTGTTGCTACAGTGCATCAGGTTTCGATCTCGACAGCAGTCTGGCGTCTTCGCCATTTGTTTTTAGACCTGCGGCCGGGTTGTGTCGGACAGCATGTCGTTTAGGAGGGCTGTCAGGCTGGTGTGCGGGCTCGCTGGCGGGTCAGCGGTGCTGGTAGCGGCGGCAGCGGCGGCGGATGCCCGGGGGACTTTCGGGGACGCGGGATCCCGGGAGAGCCCCAGAAAGTGGACGAGCTTGGCAGTGCTTCATGCTGCTCAGACCTGGACGTCAGGGAACCAACACACCGTGCCGCCGAGTGGAAACGCCTGGGACCATAACTGGGATAAGTGCGTCCTTTCTTTTTTTAAAGCGCCGAGTTACCATTGCCGGCTCACGTTTAGTCGAATTGAGGGGTTATAACGTTTGAAAGGCTTCTGCAGACATGATGTAAATTATGGCCAAGCTCTAAGAAGTCTCACCGTCTTTAACTAGAGTTTAATGAAGACAGAAAGAAGTATAAAAACAAAGTTAAAACATGGAACTTCTTATTGTTTAAACAAACGTTTGACTGCGGTGCGCAAGTTGAAAGTACTTCCTACATTTGAAACACTAGCGGTATTGAAACCGAAAGAAGCACATCATTAAAATCCCAATTTCTTATTAACCACATACACATCACATGAGGACAAATTCACATTTACAACGGTAACCTGCCGAGAGCGTCCGTTTACTGGAGCAATCTTGAGTGAGCTACTTTGCTCTAGGATACAACATCACCTTCATCCTGGACTTGAACCCGTGTTACTCCGGTCGGGAGTCCAGGGCCCTAATCAAAACTGCACGGTGACACCCTAAAAGCTAATGAGTACCAGCGACTGGAATCGATCCCACATGGGGCATACATCCACTGGGACTTATACCCAAGCCCAAGGCCTTCCAGCTCCTTGGTCTAATCTTTTTTTATCTTTAATCATGGATGTCTCTAGCTAGGAAAAATATAGAAGAATCACGTTACATAGAAAACGGAGAAAGCAATGGAAAATACTTCTAAAAGAGCCATGTGTGGCAGTGGAATTATCCACAGAATCTTGTTTTTTTTCTCTGCTGATCTGGAGTTTAAATGCCAGATTGAAGGCCAGAAGCGGAGTTTGTTCAGACTCAGTGGTCAGCTTTGCTGCCTGGCAGTGCCCTGGGGGTTCAGTCCTGGACCTGGGGCACTATCTGTGTGGAGTTTGTATGTTCTTCCCATGTATGGTTTTCTCCCACAGTCCAGAAACATGCTGGTTAATTGGCTCCAGGGACGTCCGGCCCTAGGTCTGTCTGTGTCTGTGTGTGCCTTCTGATGGACTGGCGTCCCATCCAGGGAGTATCTCGCCCTGTGCCTGTTGCATGCTGGGATAGGCTCTGCCCCCCCGCAGTCCTGAGCTGGAGGAAGCGCTGAGAACATGGGTGGAGTGAGTGTCTTCCAAGCGACTGCTGTGTAATTCCTGCTGCTAAAATGGGTTTTTTCTTTTGTGTGTCCGCTACCAGGCGTGAGCCCCTCTCCCTCGTGAACACGAGGAAGAAAGAGGAGAAGCAAGGCAACAGCGGGGACCTGTCCGCAGAGCTGGACAGCAACAAGCCCAAGGCCACGCGCCACATCCTGCTGGTCCGCCACTCGCAGTACAACCTGAACGGCAGCGGGGACAAGGAGAGGACTCTGACGGCTCTGGGTACGCTGACTGGCGGCTTTCTCTCTCCCAGCCGAGCTCCGAGCGGCTGGGGGGCGTGATCCGGCCACCCCGGGCCGAACTGCTTTTCCGATTGCGGGTCACATGGGAGCCGGAGCCTGTCCCAGCAAGCAGTGGGCCAAGGCAGGGCACACCCTGGGCAGGACGCCATCTGTCACAGGGCAGCCTCGGACACAGACACGCACACAGAGCCAATATTCCCAGAAGCCGATTAACGTACCGGTGTGTTTTCGGACAGTGGGAGGAAACCCACACTAACACAGAAAATACCTACAAACTCCATGCTGTGAGCACTCCAGGTCTGGAATGGAACCAGGGGCCCCAGCACTATGAGGTAGCAAGGCTGGCCCCAGCACCACCATACCACCCCATACTGGTGTGTTGTGGTCCAGGGGGAATAGCGCCACCTACTGGCATACCTACACCTCCTATAACCACAACCTGGTTTTCCTTGGATGTTCAAAATGTCGAGACTGACGTGCCTCACCCTTGCTGGGACTTGATGAGACATGTCTTGAAAAAGAAGCTTTGTTACATTACATTATTACACTACATTTGTTATGCTTAAGCCCGTCATGCCTTTTGCAAGACTAAAAACAAAAGCAATAGAATTTTGAGAGTTCAAATGTGTGCAGTTTAATCCTCTAATTTACAACTATGAACACTAGTTTCTGCTAATGAATTTGGCTTTCCAGAATCGGGGGTATAAGTCCTTGTAACAGAGTGAACTGCATGGTAATAAAGGGAGAATATACAGTATGTTGCATTTTTAAGACTGTAGGTTGCCATGTTTTTTACCATCCTGTATTCTAATCGGACTGTGCAGGTAGACAGCAGGCAGAATTGACTGGGCAGCGTTTGGCCGAACTGGGTCTGAAGTACGACGTCCTCATCCACTCTACCATGATGCGAGCCACAGAGACCGCTCAGATTATCAGCAAGTACCTCCCAGGTCTGCACACCTCTCACACTGGTATCCACTGAAAAGTACCTGTGACGTTGTCCTGAAGTCGCTCTATATACCCTTTTCTCTTATATGAATAATGAATCCATTTGATAAACATTACGAATACATTTTATAAACATATAAACATAAGGCAAACCTCACATTAACCCCAATCCGGTGCGGTGGCTCTGTGGTTAAGGATCTGTGCCTGTGGCTAGAAGGTTGTCGGTTTGTATCCCATGGCCAGCAGAGGAATCCTACTCCGTTGGGCCCCTGAGCAAGGCCCTTAACCCCAACTGCTCCAGGGGCGCCGTATAAATGGCTGACCCTGCGCTCTGACCCCCAGCTGCTCTCCTTGTCTGTGTGTCTCATGGAGAGCAAGCTGGGGTATGCGAAAAGACAGATTCCTTATACAAGAAAATGTATATGGCTAATAAAGTCATCTTATCTCTCTTATCTTATTCCAATCTAAACCCTAACGCAATCCCTACCCCAGCCCTAGGCTTAATCTAATTCCAAGGAAACTCCTAACCTTTTTTCAACCTTATCTGTGCCTATTCCTCCTGCAAAGCAAATCTCATCCCCAACACAGGTGAATTTCAATTCTGCAACCTAGTAATGGCTTGTCTACCTTGTTCAGGGGTTGAGAAGGTCAGCTGTGATCTGCTTCGGGAAGGGGCTCCTATCGAGCCAGTGCCTCCAGTCGGTCACTGGAAGCCTGAAGCTGTGGTAAGCACCCCCCCAATTAACTAATTCCTTACGTTTCTATAGCTCTTTTCCGGAGACTCCACTCAAAGCACTTTAGAGATAATGGGCTTCACCACCACCAGTGTGTAGCCCCCACCTGGATGACACGACAGCAGGCAAAGTGCTCCAGTACGCTCATCTACACCAGCTATCAGCAGGCAGGAGAGCACAGTAATGAAGCTAATTCATAGATGGACATTATTAGGGAGGCCATGATCGGTAAAGGCCAGGGGGAAATGTGGCCTGGACACAATTCTGCTGCTCTGGTTGCTGAGGAAAGAGATGTCAAGCTCCTTTTCAGTTCACAGTCATCATTCGTTGCTTGCTTGTGCCAACAGCTAGACAGCTACTGAGTTTTACTTCAAGTCTGTCTCAGAGTGCAGTTGGACCGTATCGTGCAATCTTTTCTTTAGGAATGGTCCGCTTTTATATCAGGTATTTAAAATGTTACATATAATGTTTAAAATGTACTGTATAAGTTCATCACACTACAAAAATCTGGAAAACTTCATGTTTATTCCCCAGTAATGTTATTAGGATTCACAGCAGGTATTTAGTCTCCACAGCTTGTCCACTGAAAGCTGTTGAACTTTTCAGAATTTCATACATTTACCAGTATCTACAGTAAATGGTCCACTTTAATCAACATAAGCTCTAACTTTATAACAGCAGCTATCCAACTCGAACATCGCAGGGTCTCTCATCTGACCCCGTTCTGAATTTTGCAGAAAATGCGGTTCTCTTGTTTGATTTCTGACTCGCCTCTTTAACCTGCTCCACTGATCTTAGCAGTATCACGAAGACGGAGCCCGGATAGAGGCAGCCTTTCGACGGTACATCCATCGCGCCGACGCCAAGCAGAAGGAGGATAGCTACGAGATCATCGTGTGCCACGCCAACGTCATCCGGTACTTTGTGTGTAGGTGCGTAACTGCTTCCGAGCTCAGAGACAGCCGAGGCCAAACTAGGGCAAAGATGAAAGGGTGTTAAAATGTTTCTTAGAAGCTGAGCAGCTGTCGCTGATTTAAAGTGGGTCATTTGTGGGTCTATATCCTTTTTTTTGAACTAATATTTTCAATTTCATGTTTCTACCAAAGATTCAAATTATTCTTTGGTAGCATTTTGAATATGTTAGAATTGCTCTTTCTTAGTCTCTGGTTTGAAATTCTTCAAGGATCCAATCCCCTTTGGAACTAGTTTCTTAAGGACACTTAACCAAGCACATCATTTTACTTTCCATTTCTATTTGACTTATTTTTCAGGGGAAGTCTGTAAGAAAGTGTGCATATTGTTATTAGCCATGTCATTGAGACATGAGGATTATTACAGAGACTATAAAAGGTATTTGTCACAGCATCACCTCCTACTTTACTTAGCTGTAGCAGAATAACTGAAGAGCACCTCTCCATCAGAGGTGCTGTTTTTTTTTTTACATAGGGATGCTATAGAATTACTTTCCTTACTGCTAGGACACCCCTCTGTCGTTATTATTTTTTTTTTAATCCAACAGCTGCAGCTGCAGACACCCTGGGGTCCTGCTGTCCTAACGAGTTGTGTATTCCAGGGCTCTGCAGTTCCCCCCCGAGGGCTGGCTGAGGATGGGACTGAACAACGGTAGCATCACCTGGCTCACCATCCGGCCGAGCGGCAGAGTGGCCCTGCGGACTCTGGGGGACTCGGGGTTCATGCCTCCAGACAAACTAACTCGCTCCTGACACCAACAGCCCCCCCCAGAACATCAAACCTCGCCAGCTCTCTTCTGCGTCCATTCAGCGTTCGACCGAATAGGAAGCTTTAGCGCCTGAGCGTAGTGTCTTCTCTACTGTCAATTTTCCCACAGTGTCTTGGAAGATTTTGTGTAAATCTGCACAATTTTTTTTTTTTTTTTTTTGGATGATCCCTGTAGTGTATTTTGACATCTACAAAAAAGGACAACCGTCTGATACTATTTGTCTATTAACTCCGTTTTCTACAATATGATACGATGGACAGTACGCTTGCATACCTTGTTCACGAGAGGCCATTGTATACAAGCGGGACAGAGCAAGCAGCTGCAAGGGATGGAGAACTGCTCTCTCTAAGATGGGTATCAGTACTATAATAGAAGAAAAAATCTTTTGAGGTATATTTTGAAAAGAAGACAACCCAGAGCTATTAAAATTCACATCGCCTAACCCTTTTATATCTTCCAGAATGAGCACAAAGTAAAATAGAAACTGCCTGGAGAGGTGTTTGCTGCAGTATGTTGGATGTTAGCACCCTTTTTTCTGGAATGTTTTAGCACAATAAAATTTGATGCATTTCCTCCCTTGCTTTATTAATGTTATGTTTCTGAAAAAGGGTACTAAAGCTGAAATCCATCAGGAGTTATTTAGTTCTCTACTGGTAACTACTCTCTACAATACCATCTCATAAAGACAAAGTGGCACAAGGTTTTGTGTTGCATGAGTGCAATTAAATCCATAAAAGGGGGAATCTGTAATGAGAGAACAGGCCATATCAAAATGAAACAGCATAAATTTATTTTATGAAAAAAAGTTGTGCAGTATTGGTGGATAAACTGCAAGGAAACAACAATGTGCACTTTTATTTTTTTTCAGTAGTACACCAAATACCTTCCTCTGACGTATACAGTAATAAAATAGGACTAGAAACACATGCACTGGGAAAGCCAGGACAAAAGAAAAGAAGTCTGAACATTTTTACAGCAACTCCCAACGTACCACACAGTTGGCACTACTAAGCTTTAATAAAGTAAGGCTGGCATTACATCCTATATACTAACCTGTAAACTTTTTACAATCGTATTTAGGAGGTATTCACACACTGCATATACCAATGCTACTGTTGTAATGTGTAATTTTCAAGTTGGGCTACCTTTTTCCTCTTCAAGCAAAACACACAAGTGAACTCAGTGCCACATTCTCACACTGTTATAAGACAAGTTTCATAAAAGGCACTAAAAAGCTTAAAGAAAAGATGTGCAGCTTGAAACATATTATTGTTTAATATTAAAAAGAAACGTGAATGGATTACACAATTCCCTCACATTCGCGAAAGTCTGATCCCACAATAAAATGTTTATAAAACAACGTCTGAAATTCCAACAGGTAGAAATGAACCGTCCTCTATTACGTAAGTTTTGTTGCTTTTTTCTGGCTGTGACCATCTTTCAATATCATACACACTGCTGCAGATTTGGCCACACTGACCTTCTGAACACGGTAATGCTCAGGGGGAACCCATCCATCCATTTTTGGGCCACTCCAGAATTCCTGGTTTCAAGGGAGCCAGAGCCTATCCCAGCAAGCAACAGGCACAAGGCAGGATGCACCCTGGATGGGATGCCAGTCCATTATAGGCTACAAACACACACAGCAGGACCAATTTTCCCAGAAGCCAAAGTATGTCTTTGGACTGCAGGAGGAAACCGGAGCACCTGGAGCAAACCCACATGAACACAGAGAGACCACACAAACTGGAATTGAACCCATGGCCCACGCCCTGCAACACAGCAAGGCTAACCACTGTGCGCATCCCTATTAAGATATAATCCTACCAATTCAGGGCACACCCTAAATGCAATACAATAAAAGTCTCGGGGCAAAAAACCTGACCTTTCTGTCTCACTCTTCCTCTTCTATGTATAATGTTTTATTTCAGAAGGCTCCACTGGACATTATATTGGTACAGTGGTGACCAAAATAATAGCAGTTTAAATTCATTTTGCAAACTGGTGGTGAGAGTACCATTGAAGTTCATGCAGGAACTTCATTTTGTAATTTGTTAACAATATAATGCATTAGAAAGACCCAACAAATCTGGATCAGGAGTGGTTTGCATAAGAGGCTACATTGTGCCTTAGCTGACGACCTGTTATTGTAGCAACTTGTGAGGTGCAAATGGGAAGCAGCTTTGGTTGTCTGTCAAATCTGCTACGTTGAAATTATTTTAGTTTACACAGGGACAGCAGAGCATCAGATATCAATTGCATGCGAATTGCAAAAGAGACGAATTTTGTAGTCCATGGCTAGCCAGGTTTTAAACAGGACGTTACAGATCACAACAGCAAAGAAAAACAAACAGCAGTCAGTTGGCCATTCTGGTATGTGCAAGAAACCCATTTTCATAGCTTTCAGAAAAACTCATATGGCTAGAACCATAACTATAATTAAAACGTTTGGAGTTAATTAGCCAGCGGAAGCGTTTTGTTTAACAAATGACTTACTACAACCCGTTTCAGGGATACAAATGATCAGAGCAACCTTTCAGGTGCTACCTTAAAAAAACCTTGGGTTTCTGATTAAAATCTGCCAAGTGTGAATTCAATGAATGTACCCATTCATAAGAAGAAGATCTTGAATAGTTTTTGAACACACAGGTCAGGTCTGCAGTTGGTATCACACATGTAATAGCTTGTCATTTACCTGCCTAGAATGAAGCTGCTAGACTCCAAACATGAAACGCGAAACCCCTTACAATCACGATAAGCTTCCTCTACATGAGTCTAAAGACACCTCATCTGAAATCTATAGTGTTCCACATGATCACATGACTGGGAAAACGATTTCCATTTTGGAACATCACAACTCAAGCACAGAATGATTTGGAAAATTTTCTAACACTAAAAATGTAGGTCAAACGTCATGTGATCGTTACATAATCTCTCACTGCAATTCCCCCCTTCAATACAAATGATACAAAAGAGAATTACTGTACTCTTCTTACAATCAACTACAAAATCACATCTCACAGAGCAGTCTAATCGTACCCAGGGAGGGCTGGCACTCGTAACTGAGAATCCCCCTAATGCATCCAAAGGGTCCAGACGTATTTGTACTTTTCACACACACATTGACACAAAGTGTCATGTCTACCACTAGACAGCTTAAAAAAATAGTAATTCATAGCACTAACCATGGCCAAATGCACCTCCCTTTATGGATAAACAAGGCAATTATCATTTTCTAAGTATAATACATCCTTTTTAGATTTCTAAAAAAAATGAATAAAAAAAGTGAAACAGAGAATGTAAATAAGTCATGTGTTATTTTGCAAGTCCAGGCTTAACAGCAGTAATCACAATACCGTTATCCTGGTCAGGCTACGTAGATTGCCTTCTAATGTAATCCACAACCCAAAAGAAACAGGTTTCCATCGGAGCCATTGAACATCACCCAACTGGCCTGCCATCTGAAAGCAGATCAACTGTAATAAGGCCATATTATCATAGTCATCAGTATTGAGGCCGTCTAGGACTAAACCATTATTTTTAAACGCAACGTCCACATGATCAGTCTCTACTTAAAATATGTCAGTTTCTCCTGTTTCGGATGGATTGACTGCTCATTGAGATGACCAGGCTCTGCAGAAAGCATACCCGCTTAAATGGTTTCAAACCACAGGAGGGCATTCAACCCAACAAGCTGATTTAGTCGTTAGTAGTTAACTGATCCAAGGATCCCATCCAGCTGTTTTTAGAAAGAAGATAGAGCATGGGCTTCAACAACATGGCTGGGTAGCTTGTTGCACACTCCTATAACCCTTTGGGGAAAAAAGGAGTGCCTCCTATTCTCAGTTTAAAATGCTTTTCCACATTATTTCCACTTGTGTCCACTGGTTCAGATTCACTGCTCAACTACTGTGTAGTTTACATTTCCCGTCTATCCAACTGAACCTTTCCAGTCTCAGGATGCTCCGCTTTTATCTCGGCATGCTCTTTGAACACGACGGTTTCTATGATCAGGTAAAACAAATCAGTGCTACTCCCAGACTTCTCTTTTTTTCCTATGGCTCAAAAACTATTCCTAACTCCCTTGACAGGTGAATTGAAGCGATTGCATTTTATTTCTCATTAGGCCCTTGACCAAACAAAATACAGCCAAGTAACAACAACAAAAATCTCCAAATGTGTACAGAGAATGAAAGCAACAGTATAGATGGAAGAATTCTGTACTGGCGTTACACAGGTTTTGTCAAGATGAACTTTAAACCTACATTTGTAAAACGATCAATGGACAAACACCATGGGTAAATGAAAAGGCTTGGGTCATGTGAACTTTGGTTACATTTCACAGACCACTTGGCCACGATAAGATTCCGGGAGGAAGCTGGTCCCTTACTCAAGAAAAATAAGGCAATTCCTGAAATCAATCAAGTTGGACAACAAACCGGAGCCGAGTCGAACAGTGCAATTTTCTAAGCAGAAAAGAGTTTTGTGCTACTGAAATGGCAATAATAATATAGAAAGTCTGATAGACAATAATTCAATGAATGGATTTCTCGAAACCTTTTTTTTTTACTTACGTGACCTGCTCCCACACATTCTGCAAGGTGATCTTTAATTACAATATAGAGATGGCAGCTGTTACTATTTTCCTTTAAAACTGACATAAATCTCTATCGCCAACTATAATACAACAGGCTTTATTATTATTTCAATCAAAGCCCACACCCATACATACTTTGCAAAGTAAACCTGCTTTACATCTGAAACTTACATCACCACCCAATGTGCTGAGCATCATGAACCAAACGTGTAGAAAAAAAAATCAAATCCTCCAGACAGTTGTGCATATTTTTTGTAAACTAGATGAGTTGTGGTGTAGCTGGATTTTTTATTAATCTGTGTTTCTCGGGCGCTGGACGGGCGGGGAGGATTAGACGGGAGGCTCGTTGATGTGCCAGAGGCGCAGACGCTGGATGCAGCTGGCGTGCGCGGGACTGTAGCGTCCAGGGCTGGTGATGTCGGGGGCGATCCCGGGCCGGGCCGGGCTGAACCTGCCTGGAGTGGAGAGCAGGGTGCAGCTGGGGGAAGCTGGGGTGTACGTCTGAATCCTGGGGCGTCCCCTGGATGTAACTGGGCTTGGCCAGCTGCAGCACAAAGGGCGGGAAAGACAGCATGTGTATAACGAGACACACAGTATATATACACATATAGGTGATTGAAAATAACCTCTGGTAATATTTCCAGCACAGATCACTACAAGTATTTTGCATAACCCGGCTGAGCTAGTCACCCATTCGTGTGTTTTGAAGCTAGATCAAGGGATCCCCACCCTGGTCCTGGAGAGCTACAGTCTTGCAATTGTCGTTTACGTCAATCCAGGTGACTTCATTAAGGTCACCTTTAAGTTATTAAACTGAAAAGACTTGGAACATATGATAGCTTTTGAGCAGCGTAGCAAACTATGCATTCAGTAAAGTCAGGAATGTCTTTGAGAACTATGAGATGCTGGTATTCCTCTTTCGAATGTTTACTAAGCTATATAAAGCAACAAATCGCTCGTTTGAGAGGTTATACCAAAAGTAGTCCAAATGTAAAAACTGATGATTTAAGGGTGACCTTGAGAACCATGGCTGACCCCTGCAACTCAAGAGGTGAAAATAAAATAAAGGTGCACATTTCTTTTTAGGTTCAAGGCAGGATGCACCTATGTCAGGTAGTGTTGGTCATTTTAAGGTAGGAACAAGCTTAATCCATGCCGCAGTAGTCATGCGATTCATTCACATGTGCAGGCGTTGTGAAAGAAAATGCTTTTACAGGGATGGACCTTTCTACCAACCTTTGCATTTCAGAGGAAGAATGTGTGTTGATTGTGTTCTTCCACTTGTGAATGCTGGGATACTTCTGCGGGTCGATCTCAATGTCTCCTATTGCAAGCAGAACATCTCTGTCCAGTTTTGTTGGGGATTCACTGTAAGACACCAAATGCTCCCTGATCAGATGATGTTGAAAAGCAGGCTAGACCTTTTATCTTTAAGAATGTACATTAAAAAGCAGATATTTTTTTTGCGATTTTGCAACATTCATTCATTCTTATCCCAACTTCTCGATCCTGATTTGCTCCCCTGGAAAAAAAAAAGAGTCATCCTGTTTTTCCAGCAAGGACGACATTTAACAGGAACAGAGGTGTTAACTTTAGATAAGACCCGCATATAATTATTATTATTTTATTTATATAATTATTACTGTATTATAACACACATGGTGCACTGATTTTCTAATATTGCATTAACTTACCCTTCGACGAAAGGGCCTTTTTTAACATTGGATGGAATACTGAATATAAAGTCTTCTTGAGAGTTCTCTATCGATTTATAAGAGGAGCTGCTCGAGCCCGAGCTGTTTAGATCTCTGCCCCCGTGGTCCCAGGACTTGGATCGGGCACAGCGACCTCGTGCGGAGGCTCCTGCGCTCAATGTCCCTTGGCTCGGGGGCTCCAGGCTCTCGTCTGCCGTGACCCACTCGTCGGAGCTCGAGCTGGACTTGTCGTCCGCCTCCCCGTCCGCCTCGCTGCCCTCCCAGGCCTTCCAGAAGCCGCCGTCCCTCGTCTCGACGCCTCCCTTCCCGAACGCCGGCTCCTCCCTGGCGGAGGAAGGGGGGCGGCTCGGCCCCGGGCCGGGCTCGGGGGGCGCCCCGGAGTCCCCGCCCTCCCGGGGCCGCGGCGGCCCGGCCCCCCTGCCCCTCTCCGGCCGCCGCGGCTCGTTCTCGCCGCCGTCCCGCAGGCTCATCCGCTCAAACTCCACCAGCAGGTTGGAGACGGGGGACAGGAGGCCGCCCGAGGTGCCGGGCGGCGGCCTCTCCCCGTTCTGGGCTTGGTCGCCGCTCACGGAAGAGCAGAAGCCGTTCTTGCCCGCCGCGGCGAGCCCCTTCCCCTGACGCTGCCGGTCCTCCTCGGCCGCGGTTTCGATGAGGTCGGCGCCGAGCTTCATGGGCAGGATGCGGCACTCCAGGCCCCCCACTGCTCCTTTCAGGCCGTCCATGGCGCTCACCGCCGAGATGCTCGTCAAGGCCGCGTTCTGCCGGTTCTTCATCTCCTCTAAGCTTATGTCGTCGTCCTCGTCAAGGAAGGCGCCGACTGAGATGGAGTTGCAAAACTTCTTGGGCTTGCCTGTCAAACACGTACAGACAGAGAGGAAGCATTTCAGAGACGGCAGCTGGCGTTTCCGAGTCCACGCCTCGCAAGGAGCCCTCCTCTGCGACAGCCTTTACAAGGTCGGCTAAGCAGCACAATCAGAAAATCGAAACGCTCAAAAAGCCAAAACTTCAGTCCGTCTGTGGTTGAACTAAAAGAGCCTGAGCATCAAAAGAAATGTATCACTTGCAACTGTTATCAGGAAGAAAATATTTACTGTACCAGATGGTGATCAGACATAACACAGGTATATATTAATTATGCTTGTTAGCATTTGCCATCAGCAGAGGGTCTACTGTGTGTGTGGTTACCACTAAAAGTAAGAAAACCTGGGGATCTGTGACACAAGCTTTGCACCAGGTGGCAGGATGGGGCTTTGTCCCACTTCAACTGAAGCTACACATCCTCCCAGCCCATCCCAGAAAAGTTCAATGAGACTCAAGCTGGCTGAGAAGGATATACTTGGCATAAGGGTCACAATCTCATCCAGCAAGAAAGCCATTGTTACTTGAAAGGCATGAGGATGTGGTTCTAACTAGTCTAAACCTTCAAAAAAAAAATTCACACTTGGACCTCTCCGTTGAAGGTTGTATACAACAGTAAGTGTAGAGTTCTCCATGCCTGTACCCACTAACATGCATCAGTAACACTGAACCGGTCAAACCCCCATCACCTGTGCCCAATCTACCCTCTCACTAATGAGGTGATTTAGTGCTCATGCAACACACATAGTGTATCACAACCAGCGTATCACAGTCACTAGTGAATGATCACGTAATCAAAATGAAGCCTAAACCATTTGATCAATATTCAAAATCTGTATTTTTGTTTTCTCTAAAAAAACAAGTGCATGGAGTGTTACGTTCTTTTTTTGATGCTCCGTATTATATCACAAACAACAATTTTATGGATGTTGCTCTGCGCCATTGGCATAAACAAAGCCAGTGTGGAGAGAAAAGAAGGAAAAGAAAAATTAAGCTTATACTCTGGTATCTCCACACCAGGATGCTCTTGCATTTCAGATTTATAACTGACAAAAGCACTGTCATTTTTCATTCAACATCCAAACCGGGGCCAAAACCACGAGCCATGATATTGAAGCCAGTTCCCCGAGATGGTTCAGGAAACAACAGGATGAGACCTTTGTCAATGTTACAAACACGGAAAGAGCAAGATAGGCATACTCTCCACTCACCTGTAACCTCTTATCTTATAATATGTTTAAGATTTAGCTTATAAAAAAAAAAGATGGGAAAATCGAATAAAGAAAAACTATATTTTGCATATTACCTGGAGATGGCGTTTTAAATCTGTTGCTGGTTTCATTTTCTCCAGCTGCTTCCTGGACCCTGTCACTTAAATCTTTCTTGCTTAAATGCTCCTCCAGCTTTCGAAGCCCTTCTGCAGAAGAAAGATCAACGAAGCAGCCGAGGAACTCCCAATGTTCAGCCCAGGGATGGCCCATTTCACGAGCCAGATCCCTGCAAGTGAAAAATCACAGGCAACAAATGAATGACTGATACAGCCTCTTTCAATCTCTATGGGCCAATGATTGAAGCCTAGAGGGTATTTGCAGCCCCAATTTCTCAGACCGGTTATTAAATCTCCGTAACAAAATGAGCCTCGTGAAAGTACAGCATAGTTGCCATATTGTCGCATAACGTCTAGCCACAGGCGAGAGTAAGTTTGTGCGAATTGTGACGTGAAGCGGCCCTTCCTGCTCACTAGTCACTTGAATGACTGATGTACTGTGATGTAGAGCAAATAAGTACCAGTTGTGCATCAGGTGTTTCAGAATTGTTTCAACATGATCTGCATGCAGAGTTAGCAAGTAGTATTTGTCTGCAAAACTATTTCTATTGGATTAAAAGAGAGGTATTCATAAGTCTGCTTGTTTACAGTGTAATGGGGCCTGTTCACCTCACCACAAGTTTGCTTGCCTGGTTCTGAACAGCAGAAGATGACGCTGTGCATACATTGAAATTGAGTCTATTTTGTGGTGTAAATTGGAGGTTTTATATGTTACTCTGTTCATTTTGCTTCATCGTGGCTGGAAATGCACTCCTAAATGCTGATTCTTCCCAACCCCAAAATATAAAAACAGCATTGCAGTTGTCCTCTAAGTCTTACCTGGAAGACAAGAACCCTTCGTGCATTTCAACTGCTCCCACAAGGACAACTGCCACAAGTGTCAAAGTCGACACTCAACGTAACGAACCCCCTTCCTGGAGTTTGGGGGACGTGCAATCTTAAAAGAGATGGCTCGGCAAGGCTCCTCACCTCCCAACTCTCTCAGCCCCCCGATCCGGATCGGATTTCAGGATGTGGTGGAAGTGCCCTGCCCTTTCACGAGGGGGGGTCTTCCACACCTTGCGGAACTCCTCGGCCTGAAAGAGGGGCACCCGATGATTAATCCCGAAACAGCTCAATAATAATAATTATTACACCTGTATAGCGCTTTTCTGGACACTCCACTCAAAGCGCTTTACAGGTAATGGGGATCCCCTCCACCACCACCAGTGGTGCAGCATCCACCGGTGCGACAGCAGCCATAGTGCGCCAGAACGCTCACCACACATCAGCTATCAGTGGGGAGGAGAGCAGAGTGATGAAGCCAATTCATAGATGGTGATTATTAGGAGGCCATGATTGGTAAGGGCCAATGGGAAATTTGGCCAGGACTCCAGGGTTACACCCCTACTCTTTACGAGAAACGTCCTGGGATTTTTAATGACCACAAAGAGCCGGGACCTCGGTTTTACGTCTCATCCAAAAGACGGCCTGTTTACAGTATAGTGTCCCTATCGCTATACTGGGGCATTAGGGCCCACATAGACCGCAGGGTGAGTGCCCCCTGCTGGCCCCACTAACACCTATTCCAGCAGCAACCTTAGTTTTTCCCAGGAGGTCTCCCTTCCAGGTACTGACCAGGCTCACACCTGCTGGGCTTCAGTGGGTTGCCAGTTGTGAGTTGCAGGGTGATATGGCTGCTGGCATATCGCAGCCAGTTTCATGTTTATTACGGACAGAACAGACCTGCTGTACCAATCCCCTGTGTTAAGCTGATTTAGCACTTGAGCGAAAGATATATTTCAAAAAATGTGTGTGTGTGTGTGTGTGGGGGGTATAACTGGGGAGAAAAAAGCATCGCAGATTGAAAAACAAACAATGCAGCTCTTACCTTGGATGGGCTGAGAGGACCAGCAAAAGCCCTCACTGCCATCACCGGATCCCTGGGACTTTGCGTGAGGTCTGAGACAAACGAATGGTGAACTGTATCCGACGGCTCGGGCGACCAGGGTGCACCGATCACGGGCTGAGAAGAGTTATCTGTGGCCCTCAACAAGGGTATATAACAGCGATCTACAACCGGGAGCCAGACAAGAGATTCCAGTAAGGAGGACTGCATTTCTTCCAAGTAGTGCCTAGCTTTCAAAATACAAGTTCACTTACAGTACGTTTCATTAACGCCTACCGCGCAAAAGATAGGCACATATCCATTTAAAATAGATTTTAACTCCACATTCAAAGAAAATCCTTTTCAATATCATGAAACTCTCCATCTTAGAAATTCAGTGCCAATTTTTAGGTCAAGACGGAAAGTTTATTTTCATAATAGTATTATTTGGACATTTTTTTATTATAACTGATGTGTATTTTTTGTTTTTATAATATATTGCTTCCCTAAGAGTACTGTTATGTCTCCGTATTCTTAACTTTTAAGAATAGATTTAGCGAGAAAAATGGTACACAGGTAAGTTTAATGGTTATTATACATTAATTAAATACATCCTGAAATTGTATTTAAGTGTTAATTTAAAAATACACAATGAAGTGGTTTCATGCAAACATAAAAGGACAGTCATATAAAAAATGGAGAGTCCAATGTTCATAAAGAAAATGTCTTAATATACCTTCTAAATAGTCTTTTATCTTCTGTTTCACTTCTTGGGTTTTGTTTTTCCTTTCGCAAATCAGCTGTGAGTAAAAATAAAAAAATGACTGCAGCCGAGAATAACAAGGGTCTAATTGTAACTGACCTGTTAAAGCAGATTAAGGAATCCTAGAGCACGGGTTTAATCAATAAAAAACTTGCAGCCAAGATCACTTCGGCCAATCTTTTACTGTAACTTAAACCTAAACAACTCAGGCTCTGAATGACTGCTTTGGCAGACAGAAAACCCTCACTTACATCAACAGGCTTCTGGTCAAACTTGTTTTTGCAATTTTTATCAGTGTAAGGATGAGAACAAAGGACATTCACCACCTCTGGGCATCCAAACTTGCAAGCAAAATGAAGAGGGGTTTCAAAGCCCTAGGAGGAAAAAATAAGATGTAAATTAGTTGATATTTGGTTTATTTTTTATTTTTTTTACGATTACATGGAACAAAAACATCATTCATAGTCCTAGCTCCAATTTCCACTCCTTATTAAGTCAAAAATCTCTTCTTTCAAGCAAACACTGACCACTGAAAGGATTTTCCCTCATTATGTGGTTCAGTACCTAAAAGCTGGTCTGCACAACAGAACACAAGAGTCTCGGAAGAAAGCAGCCAGCATCAGCTCAAGCATTCACATTCAAAAACATAAAAGTAAAAAATAAACATATGTCATTAATTCAGCTGAAAGTAGGGCATGCTTGACAAACAAACCCTGAATAAACAAGCCAAGTGACATGTTTCTAAGTGTACTCAGTTCTTATAACCTATAATAAGGTTATAAGACCTTTTTCTCGAAAAGAGTAGGGGTGTAACCCCAGTGTCCTGGCCAAATTTCCCATTGGCCCTTACCAATCATGGCCTCCTAATAATCCCCATCTATGAACTGGCTACATTACTCTGCTCTCCTCCCCACTGATGTGTGGTGAGCGTTCTGGCGCACTATGGCTGCTGTCGCATCATCCAGGTGGGGCTGCACATTGGTGGTGGTGGAGGGGAGTCCCCATTACTTGTAAAGCGCTTTGAGTGGAGTGTCCAGAAAAGCGCTATATAGGTGTAAGCAATTATTATTATTATTATTATTATAAACCAACCTAAATACTTTTAACACATTCCCTCTTTAGAAGTGTAAAGTATGAGGAAACAATGGGAAGCAGGCTCTTCTAGGTAATTCATTACAATGGCATCTACAAAAGCAACAGCTCAGCTACTCACTGCTTTATCAGGGGTGTTCAGGTACAAATCCACAATGTAGCAAATGCGTTTCTGCAGCATGGCTTCTTGGTCATCAGGGTACATGAGACGCATAAACTCAGGGTTCTCCAGTGTGTCCAGGAGAAGCTGAGCAATACTGGGCTGGTTCTCTTTGGCAGCAACATGCATGACATTGTAACGGCATCCTTCCTGAAAAGCGGAAGGAGAACTTCAGAGTTTTGCAGGGCAAAGACCAGACAGGAGCCATTCACACTGTGGTCCAGAGTTGCGTTGCTGCCCGGGTGGTGTACAGCAGAACTTTGTGCACCCAAATCCCCACTACACAGGAGATCGGGACTGTGAAATGTACTGAATCTCAAAAGCTGCCACCAGGGCTTCAAAGAATTTTTGACATCCGGGCAACAGATGCAAACTGAAGACTTGAAACAGCACAAAGTGTCTTGATAAAGCGAAGCCTTAAGTGGTAGGTGACAACACTCTCCATTTCCTCACACTTGAAGAAGGCTCCACGGCCAAAATGTTGTGTTTTCTTCCTTCATTTTTCAGCATGGAATAAACCTATTTCCTTAACACTCTCCACATGTTCATTTGGTATGCATTGCAAATAATGGGTTACCTGTGGACTACTTGTCTGTAACAAAAAGCCAGCACCCCTTGAAAAAACAGTGAGTCAAGTGAATGCAAGACCCCCTGCATTTACAAGGCAGGCATTCAAGTTTAGAGTTCTACTGCTGATTCTTCTTCTACACTGCACTATTAAGTTTTAGCGCCTATTCATTGTTTAATGGGTTGAGCGCGTTTTATATAGACTATGACAAGACAATAAAAGTATCCTCAACTGACTGTAAGTTGCAATCACATCACTTTGAGCCAGCCTGCACTGTGCAGTCGCCTCACCTGCACCACTGTTGGGTTGTCCCCAGAACCGATCAAATAGCGCGGATTGCTCCAGACAAGCTCTGTGAAGGTGGCCTCATCCCCTTTCTCCACCGCCTTCCTCAGCTTGGCTGTAAGGTCCTGTGTTCGTGGGCTCTTATAGCTGTTTGCTCGCTCTCTGTTTATAGTTTCCACCTCTAGGGAAGAAGCAACATCTGCCAGGAAAAGAAAAACAGTCGGAATTCTGCTGTCTTTCATGCCCCATGTCCTCAAGCTTCAGATGCATCAGGGTTCCCAGGTTACAAAACCAGATCTGAACTCCAATTGTTTTCGATCTCATTATTGAAAGGTTTTGCAATTTCGAACAAATTCTTAAATTGGGTTGATAAACCACAATGGAAACAAAAATCAAACTCTGGTACATAAGACATGAAGCAGAGCAGCTTACAAGACTACAACAGCTATGGAAAGTGAACATCTTCACTTTCAAAATCAATAGGACATAACACCTGCATGAATGTTAGACAATCGATCCTGCAGCAGGACAAGTGTTCAGAGTCTTCCACCCACCTTTACTGAACACCATGCCCGGTTTCCCTGGAGACACACAAAGCAAGGACTTGCTGGGTGATGGCAGGTAATCGCAGATCCCTTTGGCAAATTTCTCAGCATCTTCTCGGTTGGCGAAAGCTTTAAATCGGGCTCCTTTCATCATTTTCACTGCCTGCAGAGCTTCCTTCTTATCTGCATAGACATTGACCCTGTCTGTGGGAGAAAACACTTTATTAGGAAAACCCAAAAGGGCTAAACAAGCACCAGTCAGTTCAGACAGCATCCTCATAACTCAGGTCACAAGAATTCATGTACATGTACATTTGGAGAATTCAGAGCAACAGGGGCAAAAGGTGTACGTCAAACCCATTGCCAAAATGTTTACGTGTGCACTAAACTATGAATAAAAACGCACTTGAGCTCAGAAAATACACTGAAAACACAAGTTAAGATCAATAAAATGCAGCTGAATTCAGTATGATAAGCAATAAACAAAAGGGATACAATGTAACTAACAAAACACCACAACACTCCCATTTCAACAGAGAGCCTCTTGCAGAACAAAAAGTTTCTGTCACCAGTCTCACTGAAATACAAACTTAAAAAGAAGGAAGACTGCCAATGCCACCCTGATCCACGTACAGGAACCACCGGGAAATATTTCTTAGGTTGGAGGTCTCACAGTAGTGAGGGTCAACGCACCATTTCTGACAGTGACATCCTCCCACACAGGACACACCCCATAGTAGAGAGGTGGAGACGCCTGGGGTGCTTTTGAAGGGGTCTGTAACCTGTCTCCGTCCACACTGCTACTCTGCCGAAACCCCGTGTTGTCGGACAGAGCTTCTTCCTCTGGGGGGTTCAGTCCGACGCCATAGCCGAAGTCCCCCTCCTCGCCAGCAGCCCGCCGTTTGTCCGTGGCGGAGTCTGTGGGCGTGTCCCCAGGGGCAGAGTGTCCCCCTGTGCCTCCGGAAGACCCCCAGGCAGCGTCCGAAGCCCCGCTACTCTCGCCCCCTCCTCCCTTGCTCTCCAGCAGGGTACGGGCTAACTTCTTCTCGAACAGGGCCCTGGTGGTGGCAGTGATGGGCCCGCACTTCAGCCCGGTGCTGATGATCCTCTCCCGCAGCTTGTCGTCGCTCAGTTCCTTCAGCCTGCTCAGAATCGCTTCCATGCTTTAACTACCTGCAAAAGAACGCAAGCCAGGATCAACCCGAGTCACACGGCACTGGCAACGACAGAAATAAATACTCCTCAAAAACATCCAAGTTCAATTTTGCAGGACATATACAGACCAGTCAGCAGCAGCTGCATTTTCCACTAGTTATAAAGGTGTGACGTTTCTGCACCGATTTATATAAAAGACTATCAGTAGTTTTTCTGTGAAGGGTAATATTCTGGAGTAAAAACATGCAAGTGACTTAATTTATTTTCTTACTAGATGACCAGCCAGGTTCAAGTAACCCTGGATATTTAAAGGATTTAAATTAATTAATCAACTTCAAATTTTCCATTACTGAATTGTATAGGGTATTAGATTTGGTATTAAAAAAACGATTTTGCCATGCCCGTGTTAAAAATGAGCAAATTAACGAGGAGACATGATTTGCAATATCACACAGGACACCAAAAAGTCCACAATATGCAGTAATTTGTATCATTTATGATTAGCAATACTGATCAGTGACGTACTGTATTTTATAGTCCAAAGTAGTCTACAACTGTTCATCACAAAGCTATTTAAATTGGATGAAATTGAATAGTGCAATTTTGGCACAAAATACAAACCAATCAAAGAATCTTCCTTGACTGTTCATATTGTTACAAATGGAGGGTTATGAAACTGGTGAAAATCAGGAATTGACCGAGCGGTTTAGTCAATCAGTGAAATAATTATTCATAACCCCCAACTTGTACGTGATTTCTAACCATATTCCAGAGCAGCTAGTATAATTGGAGGCACGTGAATTCTTTATTCTCTGGCACAGCTTTATTGAGAGGAGTAATAATCCAGGCAGACTTGGTTAAAACAAATATTTATTACAATAAACTACACAAGACACAAAATATACACACAAAGTTACATTATATACAGTATTTACAAACAAGGCGTTTCAGTGGCCTAACATTCTGGTCTCCCAGAAAACCCCAGACCGCTACTAAGCGTTAAACTCTTAATGCCTACAGAGGCCACACAAGAGATGAGCTGCCCTCTAACTAAATACACAGCAACCTGCAGTGAAATCTCTCCCTCTGCACCCCGGATGCCACAAAATAAATGGGAGCCTATATCCCTATCCATAAAATGCACCCTAAGCAGGAAAGACGTTTCTAACGGAGGTATCTTTTTCCCAGGAAACCCAAATTCCCTGAAACACAGAATAGCAGGCTCTCTCTAACAGGGTTCGAATAATCAGCTCCAGTCAGGTTTGGTTAGGATGATCATGAAGTAGGGGCTCAAGCTTCAAGTCCCAACTCCTCCAGACTCCTCTCTCTTCTCCCTGCTCTCCTCGTTTCTTCCTTCTCCCTCTCCTCCTGTCTCTCTGCTCTTCATGTCACCTTATATAGTCTGTTTCTGTCCTGCTCCTTGCCAATCATTAATCCACAACTCTGTACTCCTATACTAAGCTAACTTTACCACTGTTTCTGCTCACCGGACCCCCCCTGACCTCAGCAAACATCCTAAACGCTTACTCTTCCCAGTGTCACAAACTTTATCTAAAATCTAAGAGACACTTCTCTGTCACCCAAAGCTGTAACAATATAAAAAGCTACCATAAAAAAAACTCACATATCAACACACAGACAAAAAGAATGCATATGAAAAAATAGTAAATGAAGACAAATGCTTTAGAGTTTAGTACACATTGTTACAAATAGGGGGTTGGAAAAATAAAGAATTACCTAAACAGGTCAAAAAGAGAGATAATTCTTCTAAATAAAACAAAACGTAGACCGCGATCCTTCTAAATAAAACAAAATGTGGATCTACAGATAGAACACCATGAATCCGGATACTACTGAATTAATGGGATACTGTCCCTAGTCTAAAAATGCATTCATAAACCAGGAGAGACCTTTTTTTAACCTAGGGATTCTTTATACAGGATATGAGAGTTTCCTAAAAATAACAGAACGGCATGCTCTCTTAACAAGGTTCAAATACTTCACTCAAATCTGGCCCTTAATGCTGATCAGAAAAATAATCACCTCTGGTGACTCCCTTTTCTCTCCTCTGTATTCCTCTTCTGCTTGCTGTCCCCTTCTCTACCTGTCTTTTTATCCAGTTTTCCTGGGCTGTTTATGACTCTAAATGTTTACCTACCAAAAACATCTGAAGGGCCAAACTGAATTTTCTTTTGCACCAAACCTGTCTTGATATGTGCATCTTTAAGTTTAAGCTGTGTGATGGTGTGCATAAACTGACTGTAGTGTTAATCTACTTTGTGTGTCGGAAGCCACAGTAACCAAGAGGTAAACTAGAGGCCTTTCATCAGTGTGTTTCGGATCCCCTGAAACTCAGCAAACATCTCAGTTCCCTTCATGCTTTGAAACACTCTAGAAAACTGCAAATGTTAGCACTAGCCAGGTATTTGACCATTACCTCTAAATCCTGAGACACCTCAGACAGGCACTGCCAGAGCTGTAACAATAGCAAAAAGTCACCAAGTGATGAGTTCCTGATTTCCATTCTCTTTGCCTTGAACTTGCCTGGAATTCAACTTAGTTTTCAGGGAAAATTAAATTCATTAGCAATGCAAGATTTCTGGACCACAATTTGAAAGAGTACAATATGTACTTCAGGACCGTGCATTTTAAAGTTTTAGAATCCAGTCCATCTCCCAGTTTTTGTGTTTAAAATAAATTTTAAAACAAGCTCGTGCCTTGGCACAGACCAGCAGTATAACGTCTTTCTATGACAGATTTAAAACTGAAATTTTAGAAAAGCACCTTGAACAAAACATTCACAAGCTGCCGTAACAAATCAATGCGGAACTACATTTCATCAAGTTCACAGAATGCCAAACATCTACATCCCCACAGAAAATCACAAGGCGTTCATTTCAGTCAGTGGTCAATTAAATCAATTGCCGGTAGTGTTTTTGCAAAGACAATATTTTTAAGGAGATCTTAAGGTTTTATATCTATGTAAGTGTGAATGAGAAGAACCGTTGTATATACATACTTTCTCCTAAATCATTGATAACACACAAGCCCGACACTGCTCAGGAATGACATTTGCTCATTGATCAGCGTTCTCAACACATGGTGTAGATTAACACTACTGTCCAGCCATTACACACCCGAAAGATGCCCGAAACAAGACAGGTTCGTCGCAAACGAAAGTCCAGTTTGTCCCTTCAAGTGCATTCAAGAACGCGAAGCTGCCACACTTGTTCCAACTACGGCATTTATTGCAAAACGCGATCTAGGATTATACAGCGTATTTAACAAGGAGAGAGAAAGCAAACCTTATCGGGAATCGGACAGTTGTCTTGACGCCTGACAGTCCACCTCCCCGCTGCACACTTACCATCCATTATTCAACAACACAATAACGGAATCCTTTCTCTTATTGAGAGATCAAATGCAGGATCAGACGATCGGGAGAAGGCAGTCTGGACGCCTCTCATTGTTTACATGGCACTCGGCGCATGCTCAGTGGCAAAGGGAGGGCACTTTTCTGCAGCTGCGTTCTTAGTTTCTCCACAAAGCAGCAGGGAGAGCTATAAATGATTCGGGCTACTAGGGATTTAGGACGCGGCATAACTTTAACAGCTAGCGCAAATACACACACACACAAAGATGGCTTGAAATAGAGTAAATCCGACAAATCTATATAAACATCTCTCCCGCAGTTTCTTTTTTTTACCAAATCAGTAAGTAGCTCTCCTTTATGTAACGGCAATTACCATGAGGCCAAAAAATGGTCCCATGAAAACTAGTCATCCAGGCTTGGGTGGGGTTAAGGTTAAATTTTGGACTAGCTCCTCAGGATATGCAGTCGTTTTAACAGCTGCTAGACCACCGTAAGCGAATTTGATTTCCGGTACCACCAACACCGCGGTTTACAGTGAAGCCCAATAAACCAAGACATTAGCACACCTGCCACGACCTGGTATTAATTTCAGCAGCCTCATCGCGGCTTTTAAAACGCAAGGCCCGCGATCACGAATCAGTAAAGGGCGTGCGATACTAAAAGGGGGTCAAGATTTTGAAGATGGAGGTGGAAAAGGCAGAGGAGCGGGGCGAAAAATGAAAATTAGGAAGAAAAAATTACATATTCTGTTCATCAGTCCTCAGAGGACGTACTGACTCGTCACTGATTTCATACACACTGGAATGTCACAAGCCCGTGGGCCGACAGACGAAATTAGTTAAATCTGTTTCGGGGAAATAAGCGGAGAACAGACTTACTGTACTGCTGGTTATCTTCAGCAAGCATTGCTTCGACAGATCTCAAATGTTGTCTAACAGTAACAGTTTTTGTGTAACGGTCTAAGAAAAAACACTGTACTCGTGTAGCCGGCAGATACAAAGCCTGCCTGTGGTGTATGCTTTCTGTAGTAATGAAGTGGTGTAATATTCTTGAAATTGAAAGAAAAAACGGATGCCAACTTACCGCTGTGGTGTTACATATATTATCTACACTGTCCACTCAAATTAAAAAACATCGTTTCCCAATAAAACTGCACGGTGATCGACCAGCTCAAAAGAGAAATCAGCTCCTCAACGTGCGAATATATTTTCACATTTAAGTATTCAAATGACACAGACTGATGTAACTTGTACACATTTTATGAATTATTTATTAATAAAACACCTAAATTGTCAACTTGCTACACGATCCCCCCCCTCATCTCAAGTCTACAACCGCGACGCTTTCAAAATGCATAGAGAAAGGACCCAGGGCGACCTTGCAGCGCCTGAACAAAAAAATCTCTGCATTGCTTGTGAACTAACTTACTGCCTGAATAAAATCGTTTTTATAGTACCATAATGTTGTGTCCTTCGTGCTTGTTTTTTTTCCTCCCCATTATCATTAAGTATTAATGTCAATGAGACATATCAGGTGATTGTTAATTCCTATAGAGCTTTTTATCCCAAAGGATCCTTCTCATATAGAAAGGGAACCATCAACCACTGAAATGAAACACCCCCTTGTGTGACATGTGGCAGCTGTTATAGCTCAGTATCCCTACTACACACCTGAAAAGGTGCAACTCCAGTTGAATTAAGTCTTAAGTTTTGTTAGGCCAGGCTATGCAGTGGGTCTGTGGGTAAGGATCTGTGCCTGTGGGTCTAAGATTGCAGGTTCATTGCCCTGAGCAAGGCCCTTAACCTCAACTGTTCCAGGGGTGCTGTATAAATGGCTGATCCTGCGCTCTGACCTGAAGCTTCTCTCCCTGTCTGTGTGTCTCATGGAGAGCAAGTTGAGGTATGTGAAAAGACAAATTCCTAATACAAGAAATTGTATATGGCTAATAATGTGATCTCATCTTAAACTCAAAGTAGAATTCAGCCAGTAAATTGCAGGTAACTCCCCTTACTCTTTCAAACAGTAGCACAAGATTTTTTTAATGACCATGTAGTCAAGAGCTCACTTTAACATCTCACCACAGATCGGCACTTCCTACAGAAAAGTGTCCTATATTATTCTAGAGGCAAATTTCTGTGCAGTTTGAAAGAGTGGCACCTATTGGTCAACCATATACAGAAGCAACTCGGCTTTCCTTGCAGGTCTCCCATCCCAGTTCAGAATAGGTCCAGCCTTGTTTAGCTTTCATGATTAAAATTATGTACTGAGCAGTCCTATTCACATTTTTTCTTAGCATATGTGGACAAATATCTATATAAAATATATCTATATAGAGATATTTCATATATATATACACAGAGAAAAACTTTGATTCTAAAATGAATTTGAAGTCATTGTAGGAATTGTAGACACCTGCCAGGTTGTTGCATATGACTTGCTTATTGTAGATGAAGTGCTGTCACAATACCTTATGTATATTTTCCCTTATTCATATCCCCCCATGTCCATAACAGGTGATGAATTTTGAATCTTTTTAGGACTAGGAAATTAAGACAATGTCAACATCAATGTTTAAAAAGGACAATCATGAAAAACATTACCAAAAAATAGTTTATTGCACAGAACTTCCAAGAATTAATCTGCAGTTATTTTAACATGCTCTCCATTTGTGTTAACCTGCCACTGACTTCCTCAAGCTCAGGAAAGCTTATGCAAACGCAGGTAACTTAACAACAAAAAAAGCCAACAATGAACTCTTTTCGTAGAAATATTGGGATTACAATATTTTTATGAACTATGTACATGATAACCATACTACTGTATTAACAGCAGAACCCCTTAACAGTTTGCAGCATCCTGTTCTGAAATCAAGACAATAGGTGTCAGTTTCCCATTTGCTGTCTCTTTGGGCAAAAGAAGACTTCAGTTTTTCTTTTCTCCTCTTGGTCCTTTGGATTCTTGCGAAACCAAGAAACATTAGGAGGTTTCATACTTGTACAGTTTCGGACTGAAAAACACCAGGGACTAGTGTGCACATGTGACAAAAGCTACTCTGGACGCCCCTGCTGGGCACATACAGTGCCACTCTCCGGGCAGAGGATAACCCCACTGTGCCCAAAGACTGCTCCCCTGCCGTGGCAGTGTCTACATTTCAAAGGGGCATGACGTCACCCCTGGAACACACCGAGTACACGAGCCCAGTTACATACACTTGGTTCAAAATTCCCCACTGAGTAAACAAACAACAGGAAGCATACTTTTAAGATATAGGATATTTGTCTGAATATAAATAGCAGCAAGCTAGAAAGAAATTCTCCCTTTCGGTTTTCAGTTTGTTAAAAAAAACATGTCAGAAAATTGCATTAGCCTGTTTGCTATTTGCTATATAGGTGTCATGGTTTTACAAGGATTCTTGATTTTTTTTTGTCTTTAAACAAAGTCTTAAAAAAGCTTTTACAGGTGTGTTATTGGCTAAATACACTTTATCGGGTCACAAGAATTTCAAGGAAGCAGTTTCACAATGTGCAGTTGTACTCCTTTTAGCTGAATGTATAAAACAGTAAAAAGACCACTGTTCTTTTTTCCAAAGCAGTTTTGGCATTATTTAGACACAGTGTTTTGTTGAACCTCAAAGATTCATTAAACCATCACAGGTTTCGACAGAGATAAGAGGTACAGAGGTTACATACTCAGTTTCATGTTAAAGTACATGTAGATCCTCAAGGACACAGGCAAGGAAAGACTCAAAAGTGTAGCTACAATGAAAGATCAGAGACAAAACCTTTTGATCAGAAAACCACCTGTAAGAAATAATTCTAAGAACAATCTTTACAAAGTGAAACTCACCGATAAAGCAGTTTCATTCATTTAAAACCTGTATTTATGGTACATTACTTTATGCGAGAAGAAGGATTATAACAATCTCATGTCTTTGTGGGGTATATTTATCATAAGATGACATGTCCCAGAGGGAACAAATGTTTCATAAAAAGATCCTGATATTTAAATGATTTCATTTTATCCAGTGGTTGTAAGACAGAGGTGGCTCTCAAAGAGTTACAGTATATTCTCTATTTCTGCACTCTTGATACATTAAAAGAATCTCAACCTGTTGTTTTTTTTTATAAAAGCAGTGGTTTGAATTTCAAAGTTATGTTTACTGAGTTTATCTTACGGTACAGCGTTTCAAACAGTCTTCCTCAGGCATCAGTCCTGTATTGAATTTGAACATTACCTGTAAAGGGATATGGAATATTGTGCCAAAATATAAGTTAGCACTCAATTAAAAAAAAAAATCCCTTTGGAATTCAAACCATTGTATGGGTGCAGTCTTCTTTTCGATGTTTGTTGCCGCTTTGCCCCTGACTAACAGCTATTCTTTTAAATAAGAATAAGAAAAATGCCTTTAAGCACTGTCCTGCTCTTGGTGTTATTCCACATTCACAGGACTGTAAATTTGGCATGTTGACTAACATTAAGCAGTACAGTCTCCGGACATAAGTTTTGCTCAGGCAAAAACAAAGTTTTAGAAAAAATCAGCACCCACAGTTTTTGAAACCACAGTGTAAGTGTTTTCGATGTTGATTTGATATGAGCGCAGCAGGTTTATATTCAAGGCCAACAAGAACACTTCAATGTCTGTATAAGAACGTCAACCTGTCAGGTCACTGAATACCTCCCCATCTCATTCGTGTCCTTCAAAGTACATAACATACCTTATTAAATTCACTGGAAGTTTTAAATAAAACAGAAAACAAAGTAGTAGTAAAGCAAAGAATGTACTGTGCATCATACTCTTAAACTTTGCTGTAACATTGGATATTCAACTAACAAGACTACCCAGGAAACCCTTTTTCTAAGAAATGAACACTAATTAAGGCTGTATGAAACAATATATGAACAACATGAGAAATAACAAACCTTTGATAATCATTCTTTTAAATAAAGACCCGGAAAAACAACAAACAATTAAATGCAATAAATTAAGGAGTACCTCTGACTTAAAGTATATCAACATTTTTAGCATAAAGATTTCTCTCTCTTTAGGTCAGTTATGCCATCTACTGCATAACATGTGCAACTTCAGCCAATATCTTTCATATAAATTAGGTAGCAATTTATGCTGCCAAACAGCAAGCTATTCCCTAAGATCTAAACTGATGGCTAGCTAAATCTAACTTTTTTTACAAGAATAAATTCATTCGAAAAGCTAATTACTCAACTTGATGTGTTTATGGAGATTTCCCTAGCTTTTATGGCACTGCCATAGTCATTGATAATACCATTCTGGGCAAAACATAGACCTTAAATACATCAACCTATATAAAAGAAAATATACACATATAAAATCAGTGTACAGCTGAATAGCAGCATACTAAAAAGCTGATGCTCTGGACAATTTAAGATGGTAAAACTATATTTGGTCTGGGTTTATATTTATGCAATAAACTGTCTACAGCAATCAGTAATACAGTCCTGTAAATGAGCTCTGAAAGGCTGGCCGTAAGTTGCGAAAGAAACGAGGAAAGAAAATTCCCTGAACTACCAGAGCCTTGTCTTCCGATATTGGAGTTTCAAAGCTCAACTCCTTTCCTGGAGTGAAACTGGAAACACATGGATAGCGATATCTTGGATTCAAGAAGCTGACAACGTGAACAACCGAGACGTGAAGCTGAATGAGGGCAGACTGTGGACAACCCCTCTCATCCATGAGGCACATCAGATAGGAAGAACAGTATGACTAAGCCACAAGAAGGGGCCTCTCTGTGCAAAAAGTGTTCCTAATTGTACGTTTCGTCTTAAGCCTTTACAATTCTTGAATCATCCAACCAAAATATTCTGAACTAAATCCTGAACAGAAAAATTCAAAGAAGTACAAAATAAGAAGAAATGACAGGGGTTTGAGGGGTTCTAGTTTCGATTTAACATCGGAACACTTTTTGGCCATTTTGTCTAATTATTCACTTCGGTTTGCTGAACGAAATCGGAAAATGCTGCCCCTCCACATGGAGCGTACGACTGGGGAACCGTTCGTTTCTCAGAAATGGTCATTTAAAAAAAAAACAACAACAACATTCGAACACCCACATAAACCAGCGAGGGCCAGAGGTGACGACATGGCGGGTGGGTGAACCTCTTTCCCTGCGCGCCGTTACGACTGCTGCCTGGCCTCGCCCCCGGCTGCCGCGCGGCCCAGCTCGGAGGGGGGCTGCGGCGGAGCCGAGCTGTCCGTTCGCTGTGCGGCGGCCGGGGGGCTGCCATCAGGCTCCGACAGGCCCACGAGCTGTCCTTCCAATTTCGTCCACGACGTCATGGACTCGTGAACTGTAACAGTGTGTTCCTCCATCTGTTTCTGCAGGCTGTCCATCTCCTGCCTTTGGCAAATGGGAAAAAAAACAAACATTTATATATACAGTACATGATCAGACAACAAAACCTATTTCTTCCCATGCTCAATTCATTGGCTTATAGTTTTTATTATTGGTATTATTGTAGTAATTATTATTATCCAGTGCTTTTAAAAGTGGCTTCTTAAAGTGCTTTACAGAATCACACAAAAATATTAAGAGTAGAGTAGAGCAGGAAAGCCAAGGGGCACACAGAAACAGTTAAATAAAAGCACTTTAAGCCTCTCAATATGCACAAGCCTGCTGCCTACATATCCAGATGAATTAATCTTGTTTCAGCTTTAGGTGACTTAGAAGCCAGAATTTCATCTCTGAACCATCCCCCTCACTGCAGCAGGAGCACAGGCAGGACACGGAGTCTGTCTTGTCTCCAGACGTCATCTGCCTCCCTACCATTTCTCCCACGTGCATTTTCGGCACGATTCGACAGCACCAATTTGAACTCATCTGGGAGTTCACACTACAGGGCCAACTCAAAGCCACCTGTGGTGATTTGACTTCCACACCAATTTTTATAAGCATGTAGTGATTTTTCAAGGTCATGACAAGGCTGTTGGCTTTAAATCTGAAATACTTTCTTTTTCAACTGGCAACCCACTGAAGATCAGCAGGTCCTTGGCCAGCACCTGAGTAGGAGACCTCTCAGGTACTGTTATCTACACTTGGTTCCTGGGATCCAAACCTTCTGGGAAAGCTAAGGTTGCTGCTAGGAGAGGTGTTAGTGGGCCCAGTAGGGGGTGCTCACCCTGCAGTCTGTATGGCTCTTAATGCCCCAGTATAGTGATGAGAACACTACACTGAAAAAAAGCGCTGTTCTTTGGATAAGACATAAACCAAACAAGTGTCCTGGACAGATTTCCCCCTGGCCTTTACCAGTTATGGCCTCCTAATAATCCCCATCTCTGAACTGTCTTCATCACTTTGCTCTCTGGTGCTCTCTGGAGCATACTGGTGCACTATGGCTGCTGTCCCATCATCCTGGTGGGGCTGCACACTGGTGGTGGAGGGGAGTCCCCATTTCCTGTAAAGCACTTTGAGTGGAGTGTCCAGAACAGCGCTATATAAGTGCAGGGAATTATTACGGTATAGAGATTTTCAATATGAATGATAGAACAAAAATGATTAGAGCACCTGTGTGCAGGGTAATTTCTCGATACCGCCTGACAGAGGAGTGCATGGTCTTACTTGAGCTGTTGCAGGCAGGTGTGCAGATTGTTCAAGGGCTCCTTGCTCACTGCAGGCGAGGGCTTCAGCAGCTCATCCAGCAGGGAGGCCGGCACAGGACAGTCTGGGATCTTCACTGGAGTCAGGGGGTTTGACGCGTTTGTCTCGCCCTTGAGCTCCATACGCTGGAGAAGACGCACGAGCACATGCTTAAAAGACTAAGCAAACTGCACTAAGCAAATGCAGTAGAAAAGGTAGTATTTTATATATCTGGAGTGCAAAAAAAAGGCCTGCTTAAAAGTCTTTTTTCAAAGTAACATTATTGAAAGTTATTCTATAGCCAACAGGTTCATTTCAGGTGTCCATCTCCCAGAGAGACTGCTGGTCGCTCACCTTCCTCTGGCGGCTCTGTTTCAGCTCCAGTTTGAGCTGCTGGTTCTGCTGCAGCAGAGTCTTCATGCTGTGCCTCAGCTCAACCACCTTGGACTGAAGCATGAACTTGTCCTTTCTGCTGCCCGTCAGCTCTTCCTGCACCACCTCCAACTCTGCCCTGATGCCCTGAAATTCAACTCGGGCTTAATTTCCCCATTTCGCCATAGTCCCAGACAAAACCCAGAAAAAAACCCTCTGCTGTAACCCTATGCTCTTCAAAAGTCTACACATTTTCCCATCCTCCGACAGTTATTCTTCTGCCTGATATTTTTCTATAAAATTCCTCAGATTATGAATCATTTAACTTTCAAAAGAACATCAATTTAAAGTAAAGAAGAGAATATCAGTTAAACCTTCATGTATGAACAATATAAAGCTTTAAACAACACACTATAAGCTTTAAACTAATTTAATGCTGTATAATATGAAGCCCACTTAAGCATACATTGATTAGTTTGTTTTATTGGTTTTCAGGGTAGGATATATTATTTGGTGGGTTTTCAGTTTGTATACCAATATACAGATATGCCCCTGGAAATATAAACTGATCTCAGATCTCACCCAAGACAGTCATAACAACATCAAGGTTGTGAGCCGTTCTAGGGCTGTGCTCACCTGAAGAGCTGCCTGCAGGCTTTCCATCTCCCTGCGGCTGCACTGCTCTGTCATCTCCAGCTGCTGTTTCTGAGCCTCGATCTCCCTTTGCTTCTGTTCCACCTCCCACTTCAGATCTTCCACCTGCGGGGAAAACAAACCCACCCATCACACATCCACGAAGCAGCTTCTAGACTCACACTTTTGCAGAGCACTCCTCTGGTATTCATCACTAAGGATGAATACCAGAGGAGCCTTATCACAGCTGTCTCGTGTTTCTCTATAGTCACTCTACAGTTCCTTTGTAGACGGGGCAGCTGCTAAAGGTGTTATCAGTCTCATACCTCCTGGTTGGTTAGAGGCTGCTTGTTAAGCTGTTCCTCCAGCTGTTTCTGTAGAAGCTGGAGCTGAGAGCGAGCCTCTGCCAGCTCTTGCTGGAACTGCGACACCTCCTGGGAATGTGCCTCATCCCTAGCCCTGTTGGGGAGGGGGGGGAAAGACAGTTCAACACAAGCTCAACCTGAAAAACACAAGCCCTCCTTCTACCCTGATGAACATGATTGACCAGAGTTGCCCACTAACTGCGCTGTGCAAAACAAAACGCACCGGTAAAGTAAAGTTACAGGACTTGAAATACTGACGCATTCGTTTTTCTATACATACTGCATAAGACTCCTCGCCTGCATTTCTACATGGCCACAAAGGCCGTTGTATTTTAAACTGAAAACATGGGGACATGAAAGAAAAAGAGATTTCAAGTTTGGAGTAGTGGATTGAGCTTACTGGAGTTTCTGTGCCTCAGTCTGCAGTGCCGTAAGAAACTGCTCTTTCGCCTGGAGATCCTTTTTGACCTCGCTGAGCTCCAGCATGGCTGCTCTGTAGTGCCGGCGGTTGTGAGCTGCTTCTGCTTTGGCTGCTGCCACCTGTCAGATATGTTCAGCATACGTTAGTGCTGCTGGAAGCCTAGCATTATTATAACCAGAGCCCATAAATAACACTTCCTATACTGTACTGCCCACTCATCCCTGCTCCTCCAAAAGCTAAGGCATTTACACATTCATTTGTACAACAGATAAATCATACCCTCATGGAGACTTTGTTTACAGAAGGCTGGCTCCATAACAAAGAACTGATTGCTCCTACATATGCTGATATTCCTGCCAAAAAGTCGTTTCATGAGGTAAGAGAGAAAGAGATTTTTCTCTAAATACAAAACAGGGTTTAGAAGGTTAACTAAGATTTTAATCACAACAAGGCACTTTTGCGCTGTGATATAGACCATATGCTAAGGCAGCGCCGTGTTCTCAAGTCAACATTGGATTTACTACTAAAAGATGTCTCTCTCCTCGGATGCAAGAACTGGGCGTGTGAAACCATGTCACCCACCCAACACGTGTCCTTACCTGCTCCTTGAGAGACCTGACCGTATTTTTTTCTTTCTCTAAAGCGGACTGCAGCGTCTGCACCAGCTGCTTCATCTGTTGGTCTTCCTCCTCTTTCCGCTTTAACACGGCTTGAACCTGAGAAGAAAGGCACATGGCGTGAGACTTCCCAAACTGGTGTCGGCCCAAGGCTCAATACTGTCCTGGAGCACACCTGTACCACATCCTGAACCGCAGGCTGAGTTGTTTCACTTTTACTATTGCCTGGTGTTTTTAAACGTTCCTTCAAGCTCTTGAAAAGCTGAGTGAGATTTATGGATCCTGTGCTAGGGAGTGGCTCTGAGGATGGCCCACATTCAGATGTGCTAGCTGGAAGCTGGCCCAGCAGGTCCTTGGACCTGGATTTAAGCAGAAGGAAAACGACTGCCTCACTGTGGGACTTGTCTGCTATGGTGTCAATCCAAACCTTCAGTTCATCATCAATTGATCACCCACTAAGAGCTGTTTAGCCAGAAACAAGGGAGTTAGTTGTTAATTAGTTAGATCGGAAAAGATTATATAAAGTTCTGTGTAGCCTTTTTAAAGGATTTGAATACAGGCTGTAAAGATGGCCTTACAAACTTCTAATTTGGAAACTTCTTTGGTGAATTAAGACCTCAACATTTAACCCAGACAAAAAAGGCAGTTCAGTTGACCAGGGGATGTGGGTTCATGTTGATTGAATACAGCTGTGGCTCATTATGAGATTTTGGAGCCAGGAGAAACTATGGATCTGTGGTGAGAAGACTGACCTGCAGGTTAAGCTGAACCAGATCCGCCTCTCTCTTGGCCAGGGCTGTCTCCAGAATGTTGGCGTGCTCCCGCAGTGCATTATGGGATTGTCCCAGCCCGGCCAGCTTCCCTCGCTCGTGCTCCAGGTCCAGCGATAACTTCTTGTTGACCTCCTCCAGCCGTCGGATCCTCTTCCTAAACCCTCGGGATTCCTGCAGCTACCAGGTTACAAAAGAAAGAAAACATCACGTTTTTTACATAAAAATCTACACTGATCTACGCCTGGAAAAGCTGAATGCTCATATTTAGGACGTAATAGACTGTGCTATTATCACTTTATCAATAAGTCAGACTGGAATGGCAACACATTTTTGTCTTACCACGCACTTCTTAGACGTATCTGCACATAGGAAATGTTTTCTGTAATAAATGTTCTGCCCTTAATAATATTTCATTTGATATAATAGGTGTGATACTATTGAAAGTTTACATGTCTATCACTGCTCTTCATCACATGCTCCCCACACTTAAGGAGTTTTGATATAGCCTTTCCTACCTCATCCTCCAACTCCAGCACTTTCTCCCGATACTCCTCCAGTTCTTGGCTGGTAAGGGAGATGACTTCCTGCAGCTCCTTCTCAAGCATGGCCTTGCTGTGGCTCACGGTCTGAAGCTCAGTCTGCAGCGCCTCTATTCTCTCCTGAAACAGACGGCGAGAGGCCTCCTCATCACCCCACAAACAGCTCAACGCGGAGCTCAAGGCGGAGAACAGCAGCTCAAAATTCTCTTTCTCCTTTAAACCCGATGTTTGTACAGTGAACTCATATCCACCTACACGAGTTCAAGTGGGTAGCTGGGTCAGGACAAGCAGGCTGCAAAAGAACAAGTCAAGGTTTATTCCGTGCTGAAAACAGAAGGAAGGAAACAACGTTTAGGCTGTGGAGCTTTCTTCGGGACTAGAAGGAAGATTTGCTTTATCATTTTCATATATTTATACATATATACTTAATCACTTGAAGAAAGCTCCACAGCCAAAACGTTGTTTCCTTTCAGCATGGAATAAACCTATTACTTGTTCCTTTCCATGTAAACTTGTTTCTTTTGCAGTTTTGGTACATATTAAATAAAACGTAGGGAAATCCTAAAATGATATTGTGTAGGGTAACTCTAACCCCCAAACAGTAAGGGTTTACCAGCAAGGCCTGGTTGTTTCCTCCATCAGTGATCTGGCCTTTGAGCTTGTTCAGCTCTGCCTCTGCGCTCTCTTTGGCTGTCAGGGCTTCCTGCAGTCTTCGGCTCAGGATGCCCACAGCGTTCTCGTACGCCTTATGCTTGGCCTTCATTTCCTTCTGAGCGCTAGTCAGGTCAGTCCCCAGCCTCTTCATTTTGACCTTCTGCTCTGTGATTGCCCTGTAGGAAAGGATTTCAGAAATAACCCTAGTTCCCCGGGTACAGTTTTAAATAAACATTAGGGAGGAAGCCCACGTTGGGGAAACTTAGGCGGAATATATTTGCCAAAAGAGAATTTTAAATGTGCAGTCGTGCTGCATGAACCGTCAATATCAAAGCCTTTAAAAAGGCCAAGTGTAATATTTCTCCCCTTAATTCTTACATGCGTTTTTCCTTTGTAATTTATAATTTACCCCCAAACCAAGGATATATAAAAAGACACAACTTATTCCAATAAACAGAATGGTCTTTATGACAACTGTGTAACTAATATCCCTGCTGCTTATAAATCAGATAAATGGGAACAGACTGGCTCAGCATATTTGCCTCAATAATCGGCATGAAGACTCACTTTTTGGCTTCGTCTTGCATTTGCTCCACTTGCTTTCGCAGTCCTTCATTCTCCTGTGTCACAGCGGCCAGCTGACTGTGGTCAAACTGCAGGGACTGGAAATAAAATATCTGTTAAAACAGCCCCACGCGTACACAGCTGGTCAGTTATCGCCGATGCCGGCTTCAGGCAAAGCTCTCAGCCAGGGCGGAGCTCGTTACCTGAATCTGGGTCTCCAGCTGGTCTCTCTCGCTCTGCACCGCCTGTAGATGAGCCTCCAGACTGCTCATCTGCTGCTGGACCCGAGACACCTCCTTCTGCAGCCTGGCCTGCTCCAGCTCTGCCGCCTTCCTCTCCCCCTGGGAGCTCAGGAGCTCCTGCTTCAGCCCCCTCACCTCCGACAACAGCTTCTTTTTTGTGGCCTTCAACTCGCTGATCAGCTGGTCCTTGGAGCTGGTATCCCGGCGGTAAGCTTCTACCATGACCTGTGGGACAATGCAGAAACACAAGATGACACAGCTTGCACCCAATCTGCCTTCACGTCAAAGTCCAAGTGCACGCTGACTACTGAATTTCAGTAGCATATCTTATTATTTTGAACTGCAAACCTATTTTCATGCCTCAACTGTTGGCTGTTGCACTGCATCAAATTGTAACTGTGTTCAGCTAGGAAGTCACTGGTTTTAGGGTCCATTTCATTCACAACAAAAGGTCTTTAATTTCTCGTTACATACCGAAACAACTTACCTTCTGTTGAAGAAACTGCTCCTTCAGTTTCTGAGACTGCTTCTTCAGTGTGCTGCTCTCCTGTTGTAGGGTTTCAATCTTTCAAAGAACAAAACACAGTATTAATACATTTTAAAGTACAAGATAAATTGATCAATCAAGCAGGAAATGAATGAATTCTAACCAAGAATTCTTAACACTTGCAGAGCTTGGCATTGGAGGATGGAATGATGAAATTGAATTATTATTTTACACTTATTACTCAAAAGGATATGGGGCAAGCAAAGGGATGAGGCTTTCAGTGGCTGACGTGTCCATATTCATACACACAGCTTCAGATAAAGACTAAGAAAGCCTGGATGCTAACAGTGCCATACATGTGACCTGCCAGGCTGCAACCTGAGCGCAGAGGGTTTCTGACTGACCTGCGTGGCTTTGACTTTGACCTCCTGCCTGAGCTGCTCCAGGATTTCGGAGGACGCCTCGGTACCCTCCCCCAGCCTCTGCACCCCCTCATCCAGGGCCTCCTTGTCCGCCCGGGCGGCCTGCAGCGCCACCTCCAGGACGATCTTCTCATTCTGCAAGTACCGTATGGCATCTTCCTTGGCAGTGGAGTCAGTCTGCAGCTCGTTCAGCTGGGCCTCCAGCTCCTGGTAGCGGGCCTCCAGCTGGTTCAGGGCCTGCCCCTTGGTGTGCAGGGCCTCCTGGGTGGCGGTCAGCTGCTTCATCAGCTCGAGGTGCTCCTGCTGCAGGGCCTCCAGCTGCGCATCTTTCTGGGACAGAGTCAGCTTCACCTGCACACACGTGCAACCCAATCAGAACACACCGCTACTCCACTGGCACATGCAAAACACTGAAAGCAAGGAACCAAAAAGGATTTTAAGATCCTATTGCAAGCTGAATGCACTGCTCTGTAGCTCTCAAGCAACAGCAGACTCACGGAGAATGTTCAACTTTAGCGTTTTTCCAAACTACCATTCTATAAAATGGAAAATTATGATGATATCATTTTGGTATTTCACGAAGTCCAAATCCATAATCCATCTGGTCTGCATTTTTGGTCATAGACTGCACTTCAACCAACTGATGAGCACTAGTGAGGTTCAGTATGTCAAGGCATGTTGTTCCACGTGTGCCACTAAAACAATTCAGAAATCCTCTGAAATGGGGGCTGCATGCCAATCCAAAGAATAGGGGCCCCTTTAATAAAATAATGAACTTTATTTTATATAGTGCCTTTAAGGGTGGCTTCTCGAAGCGCTTTACAGGACACCAACAACAATTTAAAAAGAAATACACAAGATATGCACGATGAGAATACACAATGAGAGGAGGCAGTAGATGGGGTACTGAATACAGTAGGAGCAGTGGGGTTAAAGAAGAAGGTTTTGAGTCTGGATTTGAAGGAGTTTAGAGAAGGTGACTCTCCGATATCCTTGGGGAGAGAGTTCCAGAGCTTTGGGGCGCAGCAAGAGTGTCACCCTGTCAAGACGGGCTTGGGGGACAGATAGGAGACTAGAGTTAGAAGACCGAAGGCTGAGAGGTGGGGAGTAGGATGCTAGTAGCTCAGACAGGTACTGAGGTGCCAAGCCATGCAGAGCCTTATAAGTGAGCATGAGGATTTTGCGATTTATATCAATTTGTGAACTGGCTTGTGTCCGAGCAGGAAGACTGGCAGCTGCCCCATACCTGCTGCAAGTCCCTCTCCAGGGTGCTGGCAGAGTTGGCCAGTTTCTGGAGGTGCTCCCGTTCCTCTTCAAACTCCTCCAGTTTGTGCTGAAGGTCCTCTTCCACCATGGACTTGGCGTCCTGGATCTGGCGAAAGGCTGCCTCCTGGTCCAGCATGTCCACCTGAACACACAGCGCCACGAGAGGTCACACATGGCAGACGGGGAATCTCCCACATCCTGTGTCCTTCTCGCAGACACAGCTCTAGACAGATGAAACATTTGCCACAACACTTTCTTATTTCAGACCTTAACCTTTTTTTTTTTAAGGAAGAGCCTGTATTTGTTCACTGAGATTTTAAATCTTTCTGATAAAACTACGTGCAGCTGAAAAACTGCTCTTGATTGACAGATTTTAGTTCAGATGCTGCTGTCGAAACAGCAGAAAGTATATGGGGTTTGTTAAGGGCACAATAAGTTACACCGAATGAACAGGACATGCAGTTAGAAATCTAAATCAACCTCAATGTTCTGAAGCTGCACGGCGATGCGCTCTTTCTCCTTGATGGACCGGTGCTGAGTTTCTGTGAGCTGCTGGGACAGTGTCACATTCTCCAGCTTCAGGTGTTCCAGCACTCCTATCTGAGTCATCTGTCCGGCCTGCAAAACACCAAGAGCACTGCATGAATGTATCCAAACGGTCTGGATAAAATATGTTTCCTAACACTATTAAATACACGTCACATTGCACTAGTCTTGGTACCCTATCTTCCACACCCTGAAGAAACTCCTACTTGCCAATGACATTTATTAAATGACCTCTGCTGTGCTGAATAGAATTGCTAGAGGAAGGAGTCGCCAAGGAGCAGCACCTACTCATATATATGTGCCAAACGTGGTCCCTACCTGCATGTTGGCCATCTCACTCTGCAGTCGAACCCGTGCCTCCTGGGCTATGGCCAGCTGCTGTTGGTACCACTGGCGCACCGCCTGCAGTGAGGCGATCTCCGCCTGGGAGGTCTTGAGCCGCGTCTGCAGCGCGCTGCGCTCCAGCTGCACCTGCTGGAGTTGGGCCTGCAGGGCGCCCATCTGCTGCCGCAGCTCCTGGACTGCAGGGAGCAAACACCCATCATTCCACCACCGAACAGAACGGGAAACGCCCCTTTTTATCTCCAGGCATGCTGAACGCTTGTATTTGTCTACGGCAAGAAAACATCAACGCTTCCTCTCCCATCACTTCAAGTGTTACATCTCTGTTTTGCATCTGGCTGGAAGGATGTTCTCATGGCATGGGAAAGAAAGGCTTAATGAGGCTTTCTGAGTTGCTCACGCCATTCATCTCAATCTGCTTTGAATTGAGTGAAGTGAAGACCCTAACAGTTAAGTGCAACAATACTCAGGGATCCTCACCAGAATTATCCCTGGAGACCAGTGTCTGCTGCACGTCCTCCACTTTTCCCATGAGCCTCTGGTACTGCTCCTCTGCCACCTGCAAGTCATTGCTCAGCGATACCAGGTTCGCATTCTTGCTCTCCAGGTTGCCTTGCAGCTCCACCATGGCACGTTCCAGCTCGGAGCAGTTCTGCCTCAGAGTCCCAACCTCCGAGCTGAGGGAGCTCTGCTTCTCTTGGCTGGCCTGGGTCAGCTCGATCTGAGCCTCCAGCTGGGTGCTGACCGAGGCCAGCTGGGCCTGAAGTTCTGTCTTTTCTTTCAGCGCCTGCCGGAGAAGCGGGTTGGTTAACTTGGGTTTCCCAGCGGGACTCCTAATATACGGTAAAGTGACGTCAGATGAGCACTAACCTGATTAGCTTCTGAAGATAGGGACTCCAACTGCCCTTCCAGCCTCATCTTCTCCTTCAAGACCTGAAGCACTTCATCATGACTTCCCATGACCGAGCTTCCCAAAGAGACGCTTCCACACAAGAGCAGAAATAAGTGCAAAGACGTGAACAAATCAGGCCTGCATTTTTCAACTTTGACAAAGCCATTCAAACACACTGAAACCTCCACAAAGAAAAAACAACCAGACACCCTAAAATCTAGCACCAGCACCCGTTTGAATGACCAAATCCCACTACCAACATCATACGGATTTGGAAAAAGAAAGAAAAGGGGAAAAGAATCTTCTTTCCACAGAAAGAAAAAGAGAATCCAGCATTGAAAAACGAACTGCCTGTAATTCAATTCTCTAGTGCAGAACGTCCTTTTAATTAGTGAACGTGTACTCAAGCGAACAAAAGTGCTCCGACTTGCAAACGACGTACAACACAAATGAACACTGGCGAAGCAGTTTCTCAAAGAATACCTGCTGGAGAAACTGTCTCGGCGGCTGCGCGCTTCTCCGTTCAGCTCCTGCTCCTGCGCCGCCAGCTGCTGCTGCTCGTCCGCGGCTGACTGCAGCACTTCCTGCAGAGACGGGTACCGCCCCACAGCCTCCAGCGGGACCTCCCTGCCGTCCACAGTGTAGGGCGCCTTCTGGGCGCTCACCACGGCCGACAGCAGGCCGTAGGTCCCCGAGGCGGACGCGCTGCTGTAGGAGCTGCTGTCGCTGTCGTTGCCGTCCTGTTTCAACCCCGACTCGCTACCGTCCGCCTCCCAGGCGCCGTCCCCGGTTTGGGAGGAGGCCTCCAGCTTCTCCTCCGTCTCCGAGGCCAGGCTGATCTCGGACACGATGGAGGACGAGCTCCAGTTGGACCTCAGGGACCCCACGGAGGCCTCCCCGGAGGACAGCATGGAGCTCCCCCCAGCAGCGCCGCCGGCCTCCGGCGTTCGGTAATCTGCCAAGGAGTGGATCTTGCTGGAGCGGGAGGATCTAGCGGGTTTCTTCTCCTTTGCCGGCGGGGGGATCCCCAGGCTGCCCAGCTTGGGCCCCCGGGGAACGCTGGTGCGCAGGAAGGAGTACTCCTTGGTCATCGAGACGGTGCTGGCTCTGGGCAGCATGTCAGGGTGCAGCATCAGCTCTGGGTCTAGTGTGCTGGAGAGGCGGCTTTTAGGGGTCGAGTGATGAGACTGAAAGGAAACAACAGGACAGGATGTTTGTGCTGCTCTAATAATAATAATTAATAATAATTGCTTACACTTACATAGCACTTTTCTGGACACTCCACTCAAAGCGCTTTACAGGCAATGGGGAATCCCACTACCGCCACCAGTGTGCAGCCCCACCGGGATGTGTCGGCAGCCAGAGTGTGCCAGTACTCTCCCCACACACCAGCTCTCAGTGGGGAGGAGAACAGAGTAATTAAGCCAATTAATAGATGGGGATTATTAGGAGGCCATGATTGGTAAGGGCCAATGGGAAATTTGGCCAGGACGCCGGGGTTACACCCCTACTCTTTTTGGGAGAGACCCTGGTTAATGAACACACAGAGTCAGGACCTCGGTTTTACGTCTCATCTGAAGGATGGCTCACAGGGGGAGCACCCCCTTCTGGTCCCACTAACACCTCTTCCAACAGCAACCTTTGCTTTCCCAGGAGGTCTCTCATCCAGGTACTGACCAGGCTCACACCTGCTGAGCTCCAGTGGGCTGCCAGCTGTGAGTTGCAGGGGGATATGGCTGCTGGTCTCTAAAATGTATCTGTCATTCAAAACTGTTCTAACATGATGGCTCTTTGATGGACAGAACCCTTGCATGTTATTAACACAAAAGCAGGGTGTTTGTTAGTGGCTTTCAGTTAAATGGGAACACAACAAATGCAATCCTTAACTGAGTGATAAGCGTTGGGCACCCTTTGCAGCATTGTCTGTAGCAATCTGACATGTCCTGGAGACGCTCACCCTCTCCTGCTTCCTCTGGACCCTGTATTGTTTCAGCTGCTCCTCCAGGCGCCGGCGGGCTGCGAGTCGAATCTGCTCCTCATTCTCCAGCTCCAAGGATGGCTCCACAGAGCCTGAAGGCAGAGAACAGGCTAACAAAAGCGTAGAAACACTCTGGAAGAAGGGGACTTCGGTTATATTCACAGAAACTGTGGTTTACCTAACTCGCAGGCAATTCTGAGAACGATTGGAGGCCGTTTGAGCCACATGAGTTATTTAATTAATCTCAACTTAAAATACCCCCATGTGAAACAGGCTGGATAGACTATTCCATACACAAATCTTGATACTGTAGATCATGTTTTTCATCATTACATTTTAGCTGATAAAGACTGTGATGTGTACTTCCCTCGACCTCCAGCTTCAGGGTTTTCCAACCATTTTTAAATCGAGATCATGAAACAGTACGATAGTTTAACAAACCACAGCTTGTGTGAAAATACCAAAGCACCAGCCCTGAGATAAACACCTCTCCAGGGAGAGAGTGCTGCCATGCATTCAGGAACTGGTAAGGAAATAAAAGTATTGCAACAAGACGCGTCTAACCCTTCATGTAGGAATTAAAGTTTTCATGCATGGAACGCAGACAGGTTGCACAAAAGTCATTAGCACTGTGTTTAGATTGCAAAACATGCAATTAAGACATTTCACAGTACCCAGAGAAGGAAATTTAAAACAGAAATGCTCTTTACATGAAGCTGTTTCAGTGTGGTCGAAATAATGTAAGCCAAAATAAAAATGTCAGCTAAACAGCTTCTGCTAATTCAGAAACAGATCTTCCTGAAGAATCCAACTACACTGCTTAACAAAAGCTAATAAAAAGCTGAAAGTCTGTAGAGTGGATATTTTATTGTATACATATTATACATAATAAACTTGTATGTAAAAAAACGTATTTTGTATGTATTATATGATATGTATATTTTATATATTATTTTATTATGTGTTTTTGTACATAATAAAATAATATAGATTGTCAATATTTTAATATGAAATGCCAAATAAAGAATGGTTTGTCTCCATCTGGTAATTCATGAAAACCATTCAAGAAAGAAAGGAAATTAGCACATTGACTGGATCTTCCGATTATGCTGCAGGGTAATTTGCAGAAAGGAACAGGGAATCACACCGAAGATGCAGGAACACAATTACGCCACAAACTGCATTTTAGAGAACCAAAAGCAGGGCTCCATTTAACTAGTTTTGCGCTAGGGAAACTGTGAGTACAAGCGGGGGGGTTAAAAAGGTTTCGATCAGCCTTTGAAGTGAAAGAGCCAAGGGAATTCAAATGGAAAAAAAAAGGTGACACTCCCTTGCCGAGTTGCTTACATAATTCAGTTTCTTGCATAGGTAGACTTAGTTTGAGTGACTGCAAAGCTTCGCTCTTATGAACAGTGCCCTCAGAATTAGCTCCCTGAGACTTCGCTAGGTTGTGATGGAAAGCAGCCACACCTGAGGAGGGCTCTTCCCTCTGTGGGCTGGCCGAGGGACTAGTGTCCTGGTGAGGGGGCAAGGGGCCATTGGAGCAGTTCTCCCCTGCAGCGCCCAAACCCACTGACACATTGTCTCCGTTCGGCACCGCGCCAGGCTTCACAACAGGACCTGCACATTCAGCCATGAAAAGAAGAGAAAGACATCAGCAACAGGTGGAGAGCCCGCCTTACCCTGCAAAGCAGGTAGGGTAAAACACACACAGCCAGTGCCTCCACTCACACACTGCTCCTGACTGACAGCTTTCCTGTGTAACAGGTCTAACAGCAGGAGAACCTGAGCCATTTGCTGCTCACTTAAGTGTGGAAAACCAAATCTGACACGCCGATAACAACTCACTTCACTTGTTTTTTTTAGTCGGCATGTCATTTTCCACCTCCAGCAAACACTCCTTTTATACGGCAATAAAGAACGACTTAAGCCTTCTTGAAGCACACATCTTCTTTGATTTTTCTTTTACAATTGAAAGCACGGGTGACAGAATGGAAGAAAAACGAGGCTCGGCTCATCCGCTGCCAGACACACGGCGGCCCGCCAGCTCGGCGATGACACATCATTAGAGAAAGGGATCCTGTCATGGAGCACGCCAAGGCAGCTGGCTCTGTGACACGGCCACTGGGCACCAGCGAAGGAATATCACATACAGACAGGCCTCAGAAAAAGCAGGCTCGTTCATGCGTCAGTCTGCTAACTCAGACTTTCCAGTTTCAGGCGGGTTTATTAGACAGGGAGAAGCTATCCTAAAAGAAAAGGTTTGGAGTCAAGTCTTGCTATTTTTTTTCAGATCACACCAGTTAGAGGGATTTTAACCAGCCACACAAGCTGGTTTTTAAGCACAAATGATGTAGAACAAGGGTTAGTAACACTATCTAAAATGATCAATCCACACAAACAAACACACCAATATTTTGGATGTGACCTTAACTTCCAAATCAAGTGTTAAAATAAGATAAAAGTTTGCATTGCTACAAAACCCACATTTTAATCCCTGGGCCCGAAAATACCTGCACTATCTACAGAAACAGTGGGAATTTATGACACTGCTCTAGGCTTGATGCCTGAACAGTAAACAACTACCTGAAGGCACAACAGAATTCCTGATGTTTTAAAAATCTTTGACACCGGAGCAAGCAATGAGTGAAACACTCTTGCGAAGGAACAGGCTTATTCCAGGGCTTTGATGCAGCACTGTAAGATTGTGATTTTGTCGGCAGTGTCTTGTGTTGTCATCGCAACGCTCTTTTGTTCCAAGCAAAGCGCAAAAAAAAAATGCTGGAGTGCTTGGAGAAGAGGTTCAGGGCCTCCTTTGTTTGCAAAGAAAAACAATTGAATCACTCACAACAGGCTCCCGGTTTAAAGGATATGCCAGTAACATGAATCTTATCTTGTGGTGAAAGAAAAGCACTGTTTGCTTTGGCCTACACACTTGTTAGGTAAAACAAACAATGCTTTCCTACATGCTGCAGCCCTGTGGCTCTGTGGCTGTTTTAAATTTGTATTTGGAAATCTGGGAATGCCCTGCCATTCGTTTGCTGAACAAACATGATTGTGCATTCCATTTTGTTAAAGACTGGATCGTGAATCCTCAAATCACAGACGTCTCTCAGCCGTGGCAGCAGCATGGAGAAGAGACAAGTCTCAGAACGCTGGACCAGAGGGTTGCGTGTTCAAATCCCCTGCACTATGCTTCTGTACCCTGAGTAAACATCTTGCTGTATGAAGGGATATACGGCAGGTTCTCAAAATCTGCTTAAATAAAGGATTAAACAATTAACTACAGAATTCAAATTAAAAAATTAATAAATGGAGCTGCCATTTTCCCCAAGGTAGACACTGTATGGGCCTCATTTTCCACTGAGGTTAAGTTGACAGTCTTTTACATTACTAAGAAATGGGAATTTTGCCCACATTAACAGCACAGCTTAGACACCTTATTCAGGACACCTTAAAATTGGCGGAGGACACCTTAAAATCTGTGGCTAAGGATCTGTGCCTGTGACTGGAAGGTTGCCGGTTCAAATCCCGGGGCCGGCAGAGGAATCCTACTCCGTTGGGCCCCTGAGCAAGGCCCTTAACCCCAACTGCTCCAGGGGCGCCATACAATGGCAGACCCTGCGCTCTGACCCCAAGCTTCTCTCCCTGTCTGTGTGTCTGTGTCTCCATGGAGAAAAAGCTGGGGTATGCGAAAAGAAGAATTCCTAATGCAAGACATTGTATAGGGCTAATAAAGAAACATTATTATTATTACATTATCTTCCGATCTACCGCCTCACTTACCATTAACTCCATCCCTTGTGCCGGGTGGCTTTTCCAAGGTTCCTTGCTGCAGGAGCTCTGTAGAATTCCCCACAGGATAAGTGCCACCTGCTTTGGTATCTGGAAGGGATTCTTGCTGGTGAGATTCTATTTCCATGATGATGGGAATTGCTTGATCTCTGCTTTAGTTTGTTTGTTTTTTTGTAAGTTTCAGATCACTTTGGAAAGTCCATTGGAATTTGAAGACTTGCAAGGGTATAACACCTTCATATCACTTCATAACACTCAGTTTGAGGACTATCCTCTGCAGGAAGACTTGACTTTTAATGAATTGCCCCTCCAGCCATTACCCGGTTACCATACTCCCTGGAACACAAAAAAAGAAAAGCCTTTTATCTCCACAACGTACGCTCAATGTAGTGTGTACCCAATTCAAAACATCTGTCACATCAGTGCTCTCATGCTCAGCTAAACAGCATCATGTAATCAATTACAGATTTACATAATCAAAGAGGTGATGCTGATAAATTCCAGACTCGTGGGCAATACGTAGTAAACAATTAACTTAAAAGGGACAATTAGCAAGGATTGTTTCTGGTTCAAAGGTGTTTGTTTGCTGCATGTTAAGGACCGGTCACACTGGAGCTTTTGTTACACTCAGCACAATTTGCATTCATTTTCAAACCAGTGTGAATGACAAAGTTCGACTGCCAGACAAACAGACCCAAATTGAAACTGCAGAACTGAAGACACAGTCTCAGTCTGCTTGGCAAACTGGACCAGCTCCAGGTCACTTTATAAACTCGAATGTGAAGGGAACCAGGGACAAGGCATGTGTGAAAACAGAAAATTATTCAGGGGTTCTCATTATATGATTAAAATCCCCAGCACTGCAGAAAATGCACTACACAACTACCTCCGAGAGATCTAAATGGACAAGAGAGGATGTATTTTTAATAATATAGTCAGAGAGCAAAATTCAGACAGAGCTTGATAAAACACTGTCAATTTCTGTTTTTCCTAGAAGAGCAATACAAGAACAGTTTATTTAAAAGAGAAAAGACTGGTGATAAATAATTTAAAAGGTGTCTAATGTAATGAACAACAAAGGAACCGACTTCACTTCAATTCTGCAATGTGAACAAAAGCAAACGAAGTCTCCTACAAACAAGGAAGTGAACCAAGAAAAACAGCTCCACTCCAAACTCAGTACGGCTGATCAACGTTGTGAACACCTAACATGTCTCAAACTAGACGAACCGAGCCGCGTTATTAGGAATAAAATAGGACCGACCCTTTTTGGTGGCCTACCCGGGATCTTCTGTTATTAAGTATATTTTACCAGAACAGTGGTAAAAAAATAAAAACACCAAATATAACAATACAGTATTGGGCACGTTTATCGAAAACCACCATACTGTAATACTGCGTGTACAGCATTAGACAAAGCCCTTTGAATATTGGTCAATTCTTTCTTTTCCAGCTGGCGACGGTGAGGTTTCGTGCAGGAAAAGGGATGCGATACCTCTCGTTACCTGGACTTTCAAAGCGTCTTTTAAAGTTCTCCTTCATCCTGCCAAAACCTCCCAAGGGGTAACGACACCATCGCTTTTACCAACTATCATTGTAGCATTACAACAGGTTTTTTTATTATTCTAAAATAAAAACATCGCCTAGAAAGAAGGACATATACTGTTTCAGACCTTAAACTCGCGCACAGACGGATTTAAATGTGAGAAGCATAAAAATGAAACATCCAAGGATATTTTCACTGTCTCCCACGGTATTCACTTAAGAGTTTACAACTACATACTAGCTACAGCATGTATGATCACTGTGCTTCTCAGCTAGTATTCTACCAATTTACAAGATAACAGATCTATTGAGATACAATTGCACCTATATAAAGAGCGAAATTAATATATACAGACATCGTCGACCTAAGCTTTATCCGATGTCCCTTCCCAGATCATAAGCGAGGTGTGTCCTAATCGATTTGTGTGCTAACATAAACGCAAATTAAAGCAAGTACGACACCCAGTGAAAGCACCAAGAGAAAAAAAAACTAATAATCGGAAAGAAATAAATTATCTTACTATAATGTCTTCCAGCAGTTCGCAACATAAACAAAATAGCGATCTCGCACTGTAGTAACAAGAGATATTTCATTATCTTACTGTATATGTAGGATTTACTGTACATCATGCTCAGGACCACAATTTGATTACATTACTGAAGATTTTCTCTAAACACTCCAATCGTCCAAACTTTTCACTAAACTGTTTCACAATAGGCAAACTGCACAGGTTATAAATTTATGTTATGAACCAACCTTTCAAAGGAACTCTCCTTCTGACTCCCTATACGTGGCTCTTCGAGTCCATCTGTATTTCTTTCCGACTGGCAACAAGCAACCAAAAAAGGGGGTGACTTTAACTAAGTATTTCGTTATTTCACACTGCAATAAAATATTGGATCTAAACGTCACTACAATTCATGCATTTGTCATTATTATAATTTATTACTTAACACATTTGTTGCGTTTAAGGACAATTGATAAATGTAAAGATTACATCATTCCTAAATCCCAAAAAACCCGACTTCTAAAGGGAGGCGGACCTTCCGTAAAAGTGTGGGCGTGCCGAGCTGTAACCTAACCTTAACTAGGTGACACAACCACATTAAAAAATATTTTTGGCAGCATCTATGATTGTTGAAAGGCGAAGAAGCCATATTGCATTATTTACGGATATTGTCAGGTGTAACATTTTTAATGCGGATGCATGACATGAACTTTATGTGTCTTAATATATTGTGTTTTGGGGGCTTGCAAAGGTTCAAAGTATTCTCGTACAGGGGTTTGCAGACTAAAAAACACGGAAAGCATTGATTGAAGAAATTATACCAATAAGCATAGATCCTCCAAATGTGTTTTAGGGTGATCAAATCTACATTCAATACTGTTTTCTATTGTACCTGCTCAAGTGGATGGTGCTATATGACGTATGTTGCTGCACATCGCGAACGATTATTACAAGAAAAAGCAGTTATTACAATCAATTTTAAAACAGTAGCAGAATTGTGCTTTCTGTTAGACGTCTTTTCAATGTCTTTCCTTTGATTTAGCTTGTTTTTAACATGAAAACTCCATTATCTCAATTATTGCCAACACTTTAATTTAACTAGCTCCCCGCACACCCGCTGTCAGTGAGGAGCAGAACAGAGTGATGAAGCCGGTTCAGAGATGGGGTTTATTAGGAGGCCATGATTGGTAAAGGCCAGGCCACTCTGACTAACCCATACTCTTTTTGAGAAATGCCCTGGGACTTTTAAGGACCACAGAGAGTCAGGAACTCGGTTTTACATCTTATCCAAAGGATGGTGCCTACAGTACGGAGAATATTGGGGCATTAGGACCCACACTGACCACAAGGTGAGCACCCCCTGCTGGCCCCACTTACACCTCTTCCAGCAGCAGCCTTAGCTTTCCCAGGAGGTCTCTCACCTAGGCACTGGCCAGGCTCACACCTGCTGAGCTTCAGTACATTGGCAGTTGTGAGTTGCAGGGTGATATAGCTGCTGAACTTCTAAATAATTGCTTACAGACAAGTGTCTGCTGAAGTCTCCCCCACAGTTTCTATTGCCAATGCTGTATGGGTGCACAAATCAAGAGATCAACTCAAAACACCCCAACCTTTTATGTTTTCAAAACTAAATAAAAATGCATTAAAAGCTGTACCATGGGCCTGAAAAGGTCAGTGGCCACTACTTTTGGAATCTGTTTGAAAAGCTGAAGGGAGCAAGGAAAAGCAAGACCTTAAATAGTGGCGTGCCTGACTTCCATTGACATAACTTCCTGCCACTCAAATGTTTTTCATCCCTTCATTTTCTTACCGATTCTTCCAATTCGGGAAGAGTCAGAGCCTATCCCAGCAATCAACAGGGACAGGGCAGGGTCCATCCTGAATGGGATACAGGTCAATCACACGGCAGGCACCTAAGGGTGATTTTTCAAGAAGCTAAATAATCTACTAGTATGATCTTGAATGGTGAGAGGAAACCCACACACACAAGGAGAGGACTTACAAACTCCACACAGAGAGCACCCCAGGTTTTGGAATTGAACCCAGGACCACAGTACTCCATCAACCGGTTCCCTGTCATTCTCAAACGGTGTGGTTTCTTGTGTCAGTGGGATTTCAGACTGTCTAAATAACAGCTTCAGTTCCAGGACACTGTACAATTGAGACAGGCGTCACCGCTTCAACATGATTAAGTGTGACCCTTGTGATTTTACACCGGCTCCAACACTTCTCTTAGCATTCGTCGACATGTACAGCCACTGATATACATGTTCAATTCTAAAACTTGCTATAAAATTATTTTAATCCCAACCAAGATACTTTCATTTTTTAAAATGAGTTATAGTACTTTAATTACCTTATTGCATATGGTTAACCGTTAGGAATGTTCACAATTTCATTCAGACTTGATGTCGTTGCCTGATAAATTCGCAATAAGCTGTTTAAGGTCAGCAAACAATGTGATTAGTGGTTTACTGGACATTTTGTCCCGTACTGCAAAGTTGAGCTACCAGTAAATAACATTGCTAATTCATTTTATTTTAATCCTATTAACGACCTGCTACAGATTATTTTTTTACTATTTTAGTCTTGTACAACACTTGGCACATTACTTTTGCTTCCGCTTAAATTTAAATGTATTTTCTGCGCACAGTATACCGAAATAACTTAAATACAGAGTGAGTTCAGATAGACTTTCGATAATAAAAGACGGTTTCTTCTAACAGGTGTCCAGTCCGGGGTGTAAGGTCTAAAAAATGTTTAAACCTTGGTGTGGTATGGCAACCTGGCTACATTATTTAATAGTTCTAGAAAAAAAATAATCTCTTAAAGAGCAAATCTGCTTAAAATACTTGGGAGTTATGTTCCAATTAATTTTAATTTGGTCTCTCATTTTTTCAAGACGTGTTCCGTGAGTTGTGCTCAGGGTGATTGAAGGCGATCCTTTAATCCTCAGCTCCAATGACTGATAAACTAAGATGAATTAATTATTTAAGAAATCACTAAATCCCAGTTCCCATTTTCGCAATATTCTTCCGACTAATGAAGGGAGTGAAGCACTTCGCCGCTCGGGAAAGGGAGAAATTCCACTTATTTCCAGTAGATGGCGATGTTTACAGCACTTCATCAATAGCGAGTATAATTGAGGACATTTTTAAGCGATTTCCTTTGATAATACTGACCAGCAATCGATTTTTGGTCATATAATAATTTAACGTGATCAGTTCTCTTTACATGATTGTATTAGCTCTAAACTATTAACGATAACAATAAAGCTAAAACAAGTGAAGTTTTTTAGTCTTGAACACAGAAGCCTTTCGAGGGGAGCTAACTACAAGCATCCACAATTCCCAAAGGCACTGTCAAAGTGAACCCAGTGGATTGTTTTACCAAATGAACAGTGAAATACAAACCAGTGGATGTACATGGAAACCACACAAAAGTGTATTTGACACAGAGAACAGAAGGCATTTCTTTACGCAACGGGTTGTGGGAGTGTGCTACTTAGCCATGTTGTTGAAGTTGATAACAATGGTTTCCTTGAAGAAAAAGCAGGAGGAGATCTTGAATCAATTATCGACTGCCAAATGGGATGGGTCGAAAGGCCTCTTCTTGTGTGTGGCTGCTCCTATGATCTTGTCACGCACAGCCCTTCCTATAGCCGTGCTGTGTGTTCTTATAGCTGTGCTGTCTGTTGCACTTTCCCACTGTGTTTGACACTGCATCTGAGTCACTGTCACTGCAGCAAAATCTCCAACAGGATCAAAGCCGACTCATCTACTGGGAGCCGAACAGAATCCCAATCAAGGTGAAAGGTTAAGTAATTACTTTTTGACACTTGATCCCAATGGCTTCTCAACTAGGGGGGTCCTCATGTCTGCCCTTAAATCCCTTCTCCCTGGAACGGGATTAACATCAAGATGACCACAGAGAGTTTTTCTGAACAGAACCGTCTAGACCAATTCAGCTATAGTTGTCAACCATTAATGCAAAGAATGACAAAAAGCAAGACACTTTGAGGCTTTGCACTACAATAGGACTCTTTTCCTACAACAAGGATTACATAAATATATGTGCCGTCGCCTGTCCTGGACCCATCTGAAACTGCTGGGGAAATTGAAAAGTATGTCAGTTAACGGTCTGTCGTTCTTATCTGTGCCACACACTAGTATCATGTAGTAATATTTTTTGTATACACCAAGTTTTAACAGTTATATCGTGCATGTTGTAGATGCTGTTTCAGCCAGTGGACAGCCTGGTCTGGCATTGCTGTTGGTATGTACATTAGATGTCACATCTAGGTTACTAGGGGGTGGCTACAGCAGATGTGTTTTGAAAGTATTAAATGCCTCTAGGAAACGGTGTGTAGGCACAGATTACTTATAGAAACTGGTACCCGGAACTACTTTTCTCCAGAGGTCCATCAATGCCCATAGCTATTGAGTTCGCTTGAGGTTGGAAGGCGCTCTGTCAGATCTAGGGACAGCTCTAGTCTTCTGGCACTCTGGGCATGTCTGACAATGTGTCTGACATCACTGTGTAGTACTGACCAATAAAAGTGTGAGCTAACTCACAAATATACCAAAGAACAAGTAAAGGTTTATTCCATGCTGAAGCCAAAACGTGTCTCTTTTTCTTTTCAGTCTGGAATAAACCTTTACTTGTTCCTTTGCAGCCTAGGCAGGCTGACACAGCTCCCTACTCGAACGTCTTTAAGTCTCAAATATGTTTTCCTGGCCATCTTGGTGCCCTGCCATTAATGGCTTGGTACATGACTGCGTACAAATAGGCGCTTGACGGTTTCCCCCGTCATTCGTAAAACATGCTTTTCCACAGCATAGTTGTTCCCTCCTTCTTTTAAGGAGGTTCTCTTAAATAGTGGAATAAGAGACAAATCATCCCTCTGTAATTTACTGAGGTCACTACCCACCGCCCTCTGCTCGGGCCACACGCATCCACATTAGAGGAGATCCCCGCTGTTTTTTAGAGGCGCCGCTTTCGGTGCGATGTTCTGCCCGGGTCCTCCCACATACGTCGGGCAGTTTGTAAACCTGGTATTTACTCTAGTCCTCGCCATCTACTGGGGTTGAAACTTGGACATCGAACACATCCTGCAGACGCAGTATTTTTGTAACAGGTCATTTAAACAGTAACTCTCTGCCCCCAAAACCATGTCATCCGGCAAATTTAAGTCCACCATGTACGTCAAGTTGTTGTTTTGTTTGTGTTAGGACAGGCAATTACGTCCTCTCTTGGCGAAACTGAAATGCGATTTTAACGTAACTTAAGTGAATGTGCACAGTGATTAAGTTTGCGTGTCGTATATAAGGAATTCGCACCCACCAGCGTACATTTCTGTGACATTGTCAAGTTTCTGCACTACAAAATCGATGGTTTTGAACGGTAGACCCACTACAGTCTGATCACCATTACTTCGTCCAAAAGATCTCTGAAGACGCGGATAGATAAAACGACAATCCAATCTTTTTACGACAATGCAATTAAAAACAATTCTTTTATCTCGTTGGACTGATGATTTATTCACTCCCCGGAGGGAGGGGAGTGTTTAAAGACTGTCTTGCCTCTCCGTCGGGGAATCGAACCCTGGTCTCCCGCGACACAGCGGGGGATACTCAATTTGTATTTAAAAGAAAGCTCTGTATGTTTCGTTTGATTTGCATTCATCATTCTTGGGGGGGCTTTATCTGCGATATAATGACTTAACCAAACACCACACAAACTGCACAACTACAAAGAGTTAAACGAATGAAAGAGTATTTAAAGCGTGAATAACGTCAAAAAAAAGTTATTTTATTTAGTGCTCACCGCTCGGGAAAAGATGCATAGATACTAGGAAAGCAATTTCAGAACTAACCCCTGGGTCAGGAATATATTTCAGTTACAGAGCTTTAGTTTTCAAAAACGTCCTGCCTCACAGTTAGCTCCGCATTGCGCTACAGCACTCCTAACTCCGCGTCCTGTTTTTTTTTTTTCCCCAGTACTTTTAATTGGGCTTCCTAAGCCCGAGAACGCGCCTCCTCCTCCCCTGTGGTGCGTGCGGGTCCCCGAACTCTGTGGGCGCGCCCCCGGACGATCCAGGTGAATGGAGAGCTCGAGCAAGCAGGGGAGAGTGTGAGAGCAGGATAGTCGGACCTTCGCGTAATACCGGGCAGGGAGACAACATGGAGAAAAATAAGCGAAACACCCATAAGTGGGCACCGGTCATAATGACAGCTTCTCTTCTATGGGTTTCGGGAGCTGGAGGACATAAAGTAAGTAATGAAAGCCTGATGTTAACTTCTAATCATTTCAATTTTGCTGTTGTTAATGGGGAGCAATGTCTACAGAAAGTCTTTCAACCGGAGCTAATCCAGAAAACTGGCGTCCGAACTTGAACAGTCAATGACAACATTCTCAAGAGTGTTCTAATGTATAGACATGTTCGTGTCTGCCAGGTTGGAAAAAATAACTTTTTTTCACACATGATGTTCATAGGCAATGCAATTCTCATTTTGATTTTTTAACTCGAATTCTTTTTTTTTGTCCGACGTCCTACACGACTTGTCGCTATTGCGTAGCACGGGGGAATGCGTTGTGAGTCCAGAGACTGTGCCAAATGTGTTTTGCATTTTCTGAAATTTAAGTCGCGTTTGCTGTAGAAATTCTGTGCGTTATCGGAGCCCAGTCCCGTGAGGCAGACTTCTCCAGCTGATAAGTAAATGTTTTGATATTCGCTATCCCAGAAAAGTGGTCATGTGCAACCGCTTTTCTTTCTTTAAAAGCTTTTTTTCCCCCTCCTTTTTGAAAAGGCTTGGGGGGTTAAGATAACGAGCAAAAACTGTTTACTGTAAATAGCAGTTAGTGTGCTCAATGACAAGGCTGCGCTACAGGACTTCAAACGAAAGCTCTAATGAGATATTCACACCTAGACACTGTGGAGCACAAAGTCTTATTAAAACTCAGTGGGGATCTGGTAAGTTGACAGTAAAGCCAGGACAATTAGTTCCAAAAGGCTTCAGAGGCTGCGTTGCATCTGAGAAGAGTCGTACCGTCTGTGATCGCGTTGCTTTTTTGGTAGACTCGTAATGTTTGGCTGGGTATTCTTTCTCCGCCTCACTTTTCTGTTTACTCCACTAGTCCCCCGGGAAAAGACTCAGCAGATGTTCAATAACAGTTGAGGGCCAGCTGTTCGTGCTACGCAGTGTGCCCACCGTTATCTCCAATTGGAGTGATCGTAGCCGAAGAAGCGCACAGTGCATCACATACTGTACGGAGGAAATTTGGGATGATTAGTATAATGCACAGTTATTTTTGTTTGCTTGTTATTACAGCAATGCATATACTGAATATTACACAAGGATGACTCATACACGTTTCTGGCCTCTGTGAAGCTATATTATTATTATTTAAATCCGAAATCCTTTCCTTGGGTGTTTTGTGAACAGCTGGGCTGTATCGCAGTGTATCCTTGTTTTCCAGCTCTCCTGTGATTTCGGTCTGGTATGTGGGCCATTCAAATTAGAAACACATTGAGCAGCTCCAGCTCACCACTCTTCCCAACCAGTACAAATTCAGACTCCTCTCATAAGAACATGAGGAAGGTTACAAGCTTTCAAGAAGACCATTTAACCTGTATTAGCCTGTTTGGATTCTTAGAAGCTAATTGCTCTAAGGATCTCTCAGGAAAGAATAGGACTGAATAACCTGTTCCAGACCCCCAGACTCCTTTGTGTAAAGAAGCATATATTCTTATAATAAGTCGGTAGTGTGACTTTGGTGACATACTTTATGTACAGGGGGTACCTTAGCCAATGTGACAGTCATGGATTCAAATTTTCAGATCAGGTATATATAAATATAACCATAGACAGAAATCTTTGGTATATAATACAATACACCCAAAATGTTGATGGCACAATACAAACGATTAAGGGCACTTCAGGTGACTTTCATTCTTAGCAAATTAGAGGTGTGTCCATCAGTTTTGACAGTTAAGACATCAGGAGACAAACTAGGCTCCACCAATTAAGCCAATTAAGTGGCAGTAGTAAAACTATCATTGACGTATTACAGGAAAACACACTTTTAACACGTTAAAATAACCTTTTGTAATATTGGTTTATAATCCTCTTTGGCAGACATTCTCACGTCTTCTAGAAACATAGTTTTCCCTGAACTGCCTTGGTTAAAGGGCTCAGTTGCTTGACTTGAAGGGGATGTAGTTTACATATTGATCACACATTACCTTGGTGAATATGTTTAAATTGTCGTGCTTTCTTTCCATGAAAGAGCTCAACTGTCTTTGTATTTAATGCAGCAACTCATTGTCTCAAATGCCCTGGCACTGATTCCAGGTTTCCTTCTGCATGCTGACTAAGACATAGCAGGTTGCTGCTTTGCAGAGAGAGGTCCCGAGCGAGATTGAGCAGTCTGTCTCCTGACAGGTCATATGCTTAATTTTGCTGTCCATTTAGCCAGGAGAGTCACCCACAGTTCATTGCTTCAATGTAAATAGACAGGATCATGGACCCTCCTGCCTTTTGATGTCCCCCCTCCCTACCTTTAAAGACCTCTTTGCATGAAGAATGAAGGCACTTGGCATGCTTTACCATCTGGGCACACTTTACACTGCTGGTCCAAAAAGTTAACTCAGCCTTCAGCTGGGAAACATGAGAAAAAAGGGCAAGACGTTATTGCCAATGGAATGGTCAGCTACAATTTGGGAATATTCAGTCTTCAGGAGCTCTTGGGTTTGAGTTTTGCCTTTGCTTTGTCACTTCGGAAAGGAGCTAAATGTGTTTATTATTACGTCTGAAACTTGACTTTAAGATTGATAGCACAGGATCCATGGGAAGAACAATGCTTCATTTCCATACGCCTATGGTATGATAAGTGTATCGTTAATTAACAGTGAGGGTGGGCGTTAACAGATCTCAGTCCAGCCAGTGCCATTAAAACTGAGGCTCTTTTGACCCCAGGTTATGTATGTTCAGTTTCAATGCGAAGAGAACGTTTCTGCTCTGGTAATGAGATAATGGGTGATTTGCAGCTTCTCTATCCCTATAGAACCAAGTGACTTCTCCTGCTACAGAACAAAAACAGCATTAAATAAATACTTTTGAAAAGTACACATACTATATAATAAATATATATATACATACATACTGTACAGTATACAGACTGTTATGTGTTGGCCATTTTTAAACAGTGTGAGAATGAATGTTAATTGCCCCCTGCTTCTTTGCGTGATGTACTAACAGTCTCCATTGTGAAGTGTCCTGAATATTCTCTCTTTTCGCGCAATGTTAGTAATTAGGGCATCCCATTGCTGTAGAAAAAAGGGGGCTTCGGTAGTTTGATAAATGTCCAGCAAACCCTCTTGTTTATTGAGCTGCAAAAGACACAATTTTAACTTTACTTTACCAGCTATCTTTGCAATGATCTGCTTGAGGAGACAGGCTAAATTATGTATTTGTTTTGTATGTAGGTACGTTTTGGGAAGGACTAAGCTGAGTGTGAATGAAACATCCATCTGGTTTTCGCTTTTAAATTCAAAAGTTATCATCTTTCAAAAGGAAATGTAGTATAAGGCAGAGTCCAGTGAGTAGATGCCATTTTCACAGTAAAGCCTAACTGAGTTGAAAGCTTCTGCTCTTTGTAGTGAAGATGCTGAGTACTGCCACTAAGGGTTTTAATGTCATTGTGATTCAGAAGGGTCGATTGTGTTGGATGTATTTAGACGACATTCCAGATCTGGAAAAGATTATTGTGCTGAGAACTAACACCTGGATTAAAATGCCTGCCCACTCCTGTATTCCATTACTGTGCTCAATTATCTTAAAAGAAACAAGGCATAAACAGTGAAAGCAAAGCTAATTAGAATGCATTACTAATTTGTAACCCCCCACAGCCACCATAAACAAAGAAAATAGCTGTGGCATTGGAGGAATGTGAGTGTTCATGTGACGGCCACATTTAGTCTGTCGTAGCCCCCCAAAAACCAATAATATCATTCCTTTAAATTCATTCTGTTGGTTGCATTCAAAATATTTCAGTGGCTGTTGAAGTATGCTAATTAGAAAACCCGGAGAAAATTCAAAGCCGACTTTTCAGAACTTATCCAGATTACAGAGTATTAAAAGTCATGAAGCCGGTTTAAACCTAGAGAGTTCTTGAGCCTACAGGCACCTTAACAAACTAGTGCAACACAACACACACACACATACACACATTTGAGTTATCAGATAGCCTAGCAGCACCACTGACAGGCATACTAGAAAATAATCATACTGACATCACATGCAGCATAAAGAAGTAGAAAATAAAATGCGTTTCCTTAATTCATCTAGATAAGAAAAACATTTTTTGTTTACGTTGATGTGCTACAGAATGCACTGAGTGCAAAATGCAGTTTGCAGGAAAATCATTATTTAATACCATTAATAATGAATTAATTAATAGTAGCTGTTTTGCTACCATCACAAACCAAGTCAGTCGCAAAGTATTGTTCGTATGTTGCCATAATACAGTACTTCCATCTCTGTCAAAATAGGAAGTTATTATTTAGGCAAATTTTAAAATGTCTCTCATTGCACAATTACCGAGATGGATGTTTTTGAATAAGCAAGAAATGTATTGGCGTCGGGACAAATTAAAAGAGTCCTGAACTCCGTTATTTAGCTGTGAGATGGAGGGGGCAGGTGGGAGCCCTCGTGTGAATGGTTGCCGTATGTTTTGGGAAGCAGATGTCCTGGACGATGAAAAAGGTCCCTCTAATGAAAGATGGCACAGCGCCCATGGTTTGTAAACCCACCCCCAGTACACCCATGGTCATGGCATAGAGGGAGACACATGGGGAGGCTGACATCATGAGGAAGGTATGCAGTAAGTAGGGGGTTCATGTATCAGGGCCCTGGGCAGCTGTGGAAGAAAGGTTCTAGAGCCCTCGGGATCTGAAAGCAAACCAGTTCCCTGGCTGGATACGAGCTAGGCGAAGCTCTCAGAAGCAGTCGTGTGTGGATTCACCGGGGGATCTGTGGACTCAAGCGAAGTGTGCACAGGAAGGGGCGAGTTGGAGTTTGGGTAGGTGGGGCTGAATAACTCGACGGTCCTTCCCGGCGCTGGCTGTGGCCCGGGCGGGTCCGCGCGGAACCGAGCTCGTGCTGGTTCCTCCCGCAACTGGTAACCAACACTCGCGAGGACGAGCCGCCGCCGCCCCCCTTCTCTGGGGCCCACAGAGGCTGTTTCTGACAAAGCCAGGGGCGTTCGTGCA